ACCTGGCAAGTCATAATCCCCCCCCCCCCTTAATTATTCTGGCAGACTTCTCAATAAGATGTTCGGAGACTGCTCTGCGCTACAGACTTCTGGAGAACTTCTCGTATACTCTCGTACTTTCGCTGATTATGGGCTTAATACACCAGTTATTCAATACCCTCTATACATGACCCACTTAGAATTAACCTGACAACAGCTATCTAACATCCCTTATACCAAATATTGATATCTTGGGAATCAGCTGGCCATCGCGAGTGTCCGAAACAATGCGCTATCGAAAGCTCGAAAGCTGCGCGTCGCCTTGGAATTTGGCTATATAAACACTGTCCTCCACAACGCCCTGAAGCCCGGTCTACCAGGGAAAATGAAAATATTCATTGAGACAAAAGAGCGGAGTTTTTCCGCCCAAGCCATCCTCGAAATAGTGCACTACATCTTCAGAAGCTCGAGGGGCAGGATTCCATTTCTCTCGGGGACTGGAGCAATCCAACCCTATTAGAAACACAGCAAAAACAACAACAAAGAAGCAAACCCAAATATGCATCTGCACTCTTGAGAAAAAAAACAGCATTTTCCAAGCCCACTACGATCCCGTCCGCCTAGTTGCCGCCATTTAAATCCACATAATACACATGTCCACGCCCACGAAACTTCAAAGGATGAGGTCCGGGCCGTCCAGCGCCAGCCTCACCCAGAAGACGCTGCCAAAATGAAAGCTTTGGCTGGCGGGTGCGCACGGGTGAAGATGCTCCTTCTCCCCTTTGTGGCTGCATGTATTTTTTCCAGCCACAGACGGATTTCACAGCAAAACCATATATCACGCGGCTGCGCGTGCGGGTTATTGCAGTGGGGTTGGAGGAGGTTGCATTGGCGAGTGGATGCTGCGCACTAGCGGCTTATCTGGCGTTGCAGAAAAGGGGGGGCCCCAATTCGAGACATGTCTATGCTATTGAGCAAGGCGTAGATATTGGCAGGAGGAGGAGGAGGAGTCAGATGTGTGTGTTGAGGTTCGGCTGAATGACTCGGGGATTGGGGGTGTCGAGAGTTACGCTTTTCTGTGAAGGCGACGTTCGTGATGGAGGGGAAGTTGCTGCGAGATGTTCCTTTCTATTTATTCTTCTACTTTTACTTATTCTGCTTCGATTTCATCATGGGGATTATTGTCCCCAAAGTTTAATTTCCATGACCCATCTCTTTACAATATTGCATTTGCATATGCACACATGATATATGCCTCAAAGTGTTTGGGATTCGGGAACATACACGTCAAGCATGCAAGAGAGAACGAAAAAGGAAGTTGAGACGTTTATCAGCAGCATTCTATCTTTGCAGTTGTATATCCGATGTACGGGGCCCACGTGGCGTTCGTGGCTCCATGTGCATTTTCGACCTCCCTCTCCAGAGCGAGCGGAAAGTCAATGCAATGCGCCTCCGAAATAATCCAAATTAATACCGAACCTCCATCATCCTTTTCTCATCATAATTATCAACATTCACTTTCGGTCTACCGCGCAGAGTTGTTACACTCCCAATTACCGTAAGTCCTACTGCCTCTTTTTAACATCGCTTCCGTCGCCCTTTTCCTTCTATAGTTATGTAATAGTGAAATAACCACAATAGTAAACTCCATTTACATTCAACTTCCTATCCAAGACAATAGCCATGTATATGTTCTGTACCCAATATCAGGGTATCTGCATACAGACATATGTTCATACATTCGCCCGATCCCTCGGGTAACATCTGTGTTCTAAGAATGCCAGGATCAGCTGCTTAGCATCAGAGTTGGGCACATGTGCTACATCGTGCAATTGCACAGAACTTAAATACACATGGATGAATACATACAAGGGCATAGGGGTGTGGACCAAAACAAGCAAGACTATTTCATAAGTACATAGAAGATCAAAACTTCTGAAGAGTTAACAACAGGATATAAAAAACAGCACATGTTCTTGTGCGTAGGTAGATTTAGGAATGTGGATAAAAATACATACCGATCGTACATCTCAAAATTTCGCTTCATCGTCGACCATGTGCATGCCGTGCGAGCATGGCAGGGCAAAAATAAGATATATCGCACCCATCTCCCGTCCTCTCTCGTGGCCCGTGGGCCCAACCGAAATCAAACTACCTGAAATGTGGAATGCACACCTGAATGAGCGCCATGGACGAATGGAGGGCCATGTCGGCCGTTGAAGGGATTAAGAGGAACAGACAAAATAAGCTGGAAGGCATGTTTTCCTCCTTATAACTTCTTGTAGGTGAGAAGGGGAATGGTATTTATATACCTACAAGTCAGCTAGGTGGCCATCCAAGCAGGACATGTGTGATTTGGAAGTAATGATAGATAACCTAACCCATTTTCCCCAGCCGATCACACTTTGCACTTCATAACAAGAATCTTGGAGTGCAATGGAACTGGATGTTTAGTAAATATGAAAAGGAAAGAAAGGGAGAAGAAAAGGGAGTAGAAATAAGATGCATTCCTTTGTGTAAATGGACGGGGGTTACGGGGTTAGTAAGGAGATATATTCATTCGTCACAGACAGCCTCAATACACGACTTGCAAATGAATACATTCAGGAAGCAGGTTGAACAAAAGGGAGAGTCAACTAGTTCCCCATCTTCTAAAGATGGGTGCAGCTGAAATATTTGGTAACACGGACTTGTGATTCAGACGATCGATAGAGGATTCATAGTATTGGATTCCGTTTGGAAGAGTGCATGAGGCCGGTGTTCGAGAGGTTTAACTTAACCGCGTGCTTTATTTTGAATACACGGGGAGTGAACTTTTTTGGGTTGTACACGATTTTACCTTGAGAGCCTCGACTGAACCCCAGACGTAAATTTCAGTTAGATGGGGAATCGAGGACAAAAATCACCATTGAAAAGCTCATGCAATGATGAATCACCCCTCTTTCTTCCATGATTGTAACTTGTGAAAATAGAGATGAAGGCTACGCCGGTCATTCACAGCACAGAGTTTCCAGGGGACTTCAGAAACAGGAAAAGGGGCAACTCACATGACAATGGAAAGTTTGGATATATCTTCATTGGACTCGGATGGAACTCTGCTCTGCTTTTGCTCTGCTTTTTCCCGCGACCGAGAGTCCCGGGGATTTGTGGACTTGTAATCCAATTTTACTCAAATATGGGCCATACCGTCCTCACCACAGCTTTGAGTGTGACGGGAAAAGATATAGCCTGCCTCGCTTCTGCATCCTATGATCCAAACCGATTCTCTTTTGCCCATCATTGGCCAGTTAACCAAGCCATCTTTTCGACCTTGCAAAATTCAATCTACAAATGCCATGGCCGATAGTACCCGCGTGCGCAATCCATAAAGTCCGGAGCAGACGACACATTTCCCAATTGAATCATGCTTTGTTGGGTGTATCCCCAGGTAATCGTTGGCTAAAAGAATATGCACATACATATATCTTGACATACCAGTCTATGAGCTGCAATACTAAAGTATATGCTCTTAAAGAAACAACTTGTAAAGAAGGTTTTAGTCGAAAGATTTGTCGAAGCAGTTATTCTGTTGAACAAAGATGAAATTAGTATCCGAGGGATCATTTTGACTGATGCAGTGTGGAAGTAGCTAATTTGTCAGCTAGCAACCTTAAGCAGTATGTATGATAATGGAATTTTTTCCAGACTCCGAAGAGATTGATCAAGACAGTGATGATATCATAGCTTTAATCTCAGACAAGCTATTTCAGACACGGCCACCTAGTCTTATATCTGGGTTTCTGATGGAAATGGCCGGTGTTAACTCTTTTCAGAAATGACAAGGGGAGATTCACTCATGCATCCTTTGGTTTCCTAGAAGCCATTTTCGGACAGTGAAGTGGAAATAAACCATAAAAGAGATTTGCGGTCATAAAAAGGGGACAACCTGGAAGCTGTGGTTTGATCCGGCACTAAGTCGGAAACGAGCATCGAGAAATGGCCAAACGGCCAAATACCTCCAGGAATACTTTTTCCGTATTGTCGCACCCAAGTCGCTGCAAAATTTGTACAAAGTGAATGAATTAGAGCTAAAGAAGAAGCAGAGCCAGCGGGATAGACACGGGGGTAGAACTGCTCAAGATCCCTCTAAAATGTCAAGGGAGATATTTGACGTAGAAATTCAGCAGCTCCAACAACTTCGACCGGCTCTCTTTTTTCTCCATCCACACCTTCCAGCAAGTATGCAGCGGTGATGGCCCCCACATTTCCCGGGAATAGTTATATACAACCGGGAGGCAATCAATCAAAACACAGAAATACCCCGGCTTGATACACGGATGATTTCAGCTCCTATGTTCATCTCTTTTGTAGCCGACGCGGGGTTGATAGAACAGATCAGGAGATGCGACGGGCAACACGGACGATAACTAGGGTGGAGAGAGAAAAGGGAAGATGAGAAGATCGTTCTTCTCCGGGAATATAATATCGACCCAAGCAATGGCTGTTTGACAAGTCTGACTCCAGACTGAGGTGCGGCAGTCCGTGTTCGATGATTCCATGGATGCTGAGATCCCCGGTCCATATGTAGTTAAGCCGCATCTGCCACCCGGCGCCAAGGACCCAGCCGTCTTCCAACGTCAAAACCCCCTCCGGCTCCTCGCTTCCAACCTCAACAACCAACCTCACTATCGTATCCATATGCCTTCTTCTTGATATCGCCATCTAACCCAGATGCAATGCTTTCCCATCTCCTAGGCATCTTGCAAACGGCAAGGTCTCACCAGCCACTGACTTGATTCAGTATAGTGGCTGTCCCTGGATTTCCCCAACATGGAATTGATGGAATTGGTGCTGCTGGAGATGATTTCCTGCTCATCTCCCCCCTAACTCTCCTGCGACGGACTCTCCGACGTTCCAGTTTCACTCTAAGTAATCTCACCTCATGCGTCCGGTATGGGTTATCCATATCGACCCTTCATGCTCCTGCCTTGGCAGCTTTTATACAACTATACATGTTGCCAAATTTTCCTCTTCTTCACTTTCCCTTTTTTTTCCCTCCATCCCCCTTTTCTCCTTTGAGTTTCCTATTATTTTTTCTTCTCTCTTCTTACTTCTCCATATTGGTCCTTTGATGTCCATATGGTCGTTTTGAGGGATTGCACTCTTTTCTCACCCCCTAATCTCCGTCCGTAAAAAAGAGCTGCTGCACATTCCTTTTTGACTGACGTTCATACTTTCACGTTGATCGTGGAACTCTTGTTAAATTCTATTCTTTTCTATTTTATGACTCTCTCTATTCGGGGTACCTCCCATTGATATATTTTGGCTCGATATTTTCGACGAGTCAGCTTTACCTTCTTTTACACTGTGGCACTTGAAATAATCGAGGACTATTCGAATCCTCAAACATCGCAATTATCCTCTACGCAATCGGCGTTCGACAGTCATGCAATACAAAGGCATTTTGCTTGCTTTGGTCCTCTCATCCGGCTTGCTCGATGTAGTCGTCGGTGGGGATCTCCGCGCTCGTCAGGCCGGCGCCCAAAATGCAGTAGGTCGTCCAGGAGGTCAGGGAGGCCAGAGGGGCCAGGGGCGCCAGGGGGGGCAGGGAGGTGAGGGAGGTCAGCAAGGTCAGGGCGGCCAGCAAGGTCAGGGCGGCCAGCAAGGTCAGGGAGGTCAGGGAGGTCAGGGAGGCCAGGGAGGCCAGCAAGGTCAGGGAGGTCAGGGCCAGGACGGTCAAGCTCAGGGTGGTGAAGCTCAGGGTGGCCAAGGACAGGATGGTCAAGGACAAGATGGTCAAGCTCAGGGCGGCCAAGCACAGGGAGGTCAAGGACAGGATGGTCAACAGGGTGGTCAAGGACAGGGTGGCCAAGCACAGGGAGGTCAAGGACAGGATGGTCAGGCCGAGGGTCAAGGGCAAGAAGTCCAAGGGCAGGGCCAGAACAATGGCCAAAATAACCAGAACAACAACAATGCCCTCCAGCTCAATCCTGAAAACGTCCAGGAGGGTAGCCAGAATGACGGAACCGCTGAAGCTGAAGTGGGACAATCCCCTTCTCTTACGTAAGAACTTCAACCCATTGCCCTATAGTGTGTTGTTTCATACTAACAATCTACAAGTGACGACGCCAACTTTATCAATTTCTGTACTGGGAAGACATTGACAAACGGTATTCAACGGGAAGAGGGCTCTTGCAATGGCATTGGTATGTTTATTCGACATCACGTCACCCCTATACTACTTAAAGAACCAGCACCTAATCGGAGCTGCGCATAGTTATGGGTGACATCCCTTCTCGCAACAACATGGTTTCCTGTATTATTCTGAACCCGGCTCCTGGTGAAGATCTCGCGGAGAACACCGATTTCACCATTCAAATCCAAGTCGACAACCTCATAGCTGGTTCTTTCACCAATCCGGACATCACTTACTACTCAGCTCCGCAGCAACTTACTCAAGGAACCATTGTTGGCCATAGTCACGTCACTATCCAGACCCTCGGGAATAATATCAATTCACAGACTCCACCGGATCCGGACGAATTCGTCTTCTTCAAGGGCATCAACGATCCCGGCAACGGACAGGGTGGACTCGCAGCTGATGTTGATGGCGGTCTCCCGGCTGGTGTCTATCGTCTCTGCACCATCAATTCGGCCAGTAACCATCAACCTGTGCTCATGCCGGTGAGTTTTCCCCCTATATTTTCAGCTGTATTTAAAATGACGAGAATTAACTGGCTTTCCTCAGGTTGCTCAACGTGGCGCTCAAGACGATTGTATCCGCTTTACTGTTGGCCAAGGAAATGGGGGGAACAACGGCCAAGACGGTCAAGGTCAGGACGGTCAAGGTCAAGATGGTCAAGGTCAAGATGGTCAAGGCCAGGACGGTCAAGGTCAAGATGGTCAAGGTCAAGATGGTCAAGGCCAAGGAGGTCAAGGTCAAGGTGGTCAGGGTCAAGGTGGTCAGGGTCAAGGTGGTCAGGGTCAAGGTGGTCAGGGTCAAGGTGGTCAGGGTCAAGGTGGTCAGGGTCAAGGCGGCCAAGGTGGCCGAAACAGAAACCGTTTCGGTCGCACTAGGCAGCGCCGGCCATTCGTCAAGAGATCATTCATCGCTTGAGCTGGTACAGTTCAATAGCCAAAAACCTGACCTGAGTCCCGACAAGGAAGGTGCTTATCCCACTTTACCCCAGTCCCTGGTGCGCTGGCCCTGCCACGCCATTCGTGTGAAGGGAGACATATACCTTGCTAACTTTAAGTTGCTTCCTATGCAAGGTATAATACCCTCACCTCCCAACTTTTTTTTCCCATTTGTTTGACATTTCTTCATTCCAACCTCTTATATTTGCCCTGTATCCAACTATTGAGTTTTTGCATACATGCTACACGTTCTTCCCTCGCCATTTTCCACCCAGAAAATCTATGCTTAAGAAGTTAAATGCCTTTTTTAAAACATGGATTCATGAGTCTATATGCGATATCTGTTTCGAGTTGTTTACCTGTGTACGTGCCGTGTCTAATTGGATCTCTTTCGATACATCACGTTGCCAGAGGCCAGAAAATCAGTTTGTTAGTTTCATTTCCTATATTTAGGATATGTGACATGTTCCGTACTTAAACTATATATTTTCCCTCATAAAATCATCCTCCAGCCTGCATCAATTATGGATTTAATTTTCAATCATGGGACAATCGCACTCAATAAAAAGATTGCAAAACATCTCTAACAAAAAGCAAGAACGATTTTTCAGCTGGAGTGCAAGTAATAGTAAAATTCGACGGCGAAGGAAACCCCTGAATCGGATATTACGCGACACATGATCAGATAATAATATCACATGATGTTATCGAACCCTTATCGATAACTAGTTAAAGATCAAAAATTGAGCTGAGCTCGAGTCAAATCACTCTTCTTTGCCCTTTTTCTCCAATCCTGAAGTCAATCCCAATTTTTTTTTTTTTTTTTTTTTTTTTTTCTTTTGGGAAAAATCCGACTCCACCCAGAACGGATCCTCTGCGTGATACTCGCGATCCCCAGCGCCCAACGAGCCGGAAAGATAACAATACCACAGAGCAATGACATCCTCATCCCCCCTTCTTGTCCTTCCGGGTGACCCAATCTCCTACCCACGCCAACAATCCCATCAGACTGGCCCCACTAAGCTCTCGTCAGGCTTAAATTTTCTAGAAACTCCCGCCAACAACCCCTCCACCTCCATAATCATTCCAACCCAAGCAGGCCTCATAACCAGCGACGCCAAACGCAACACGCTTACCCTCCACTCCTTCCCACAACGCCGCTACATCCCCTCCCCTAATGACTTAATAATCGCCCAAATCCACCACACCAGCGCGGACTACTTCCACTGCACCATAACCCCGCACACCCCTCCCGCATTCCTAGCCCAACTAGCCTTCGAAGGCGCTACGCGCAAAACCCGGCCGTTCCTCAAACACGGCGACCTCGTCTACGCGCGCGTCTTATCTACCGGCATCGGCAATGCAGGCGGGGAGGTGGAGCTTACGTGTGTGAATCCCGCGACGGGGAAGGCGGAGCCGGGTGGTCTGGGGCAATTGATGGGTGGGATGGTGTTTGAAATTTCGACGGGGTTGGCGGAGAGGTTAATGATGAGGGGTGGGAGTGAGGGGGGAAGCGGAATTGTGGTTTTGGAGGAGCTAGGGAGGAAGTTGGAGGGTCATGGTGGATTTGAAGTTGCGGTTGGGAGGAATGGGAGGATCTGGGTGGATTGCTCGGCTGCGAAGAAGGGGGGTGGGGATGTGGATGCGGCGAAGGGGGTGAGGATTACGGTTGCGGTTGGGAGGTGTTTGAGGGAGACGGATGAGAAGGGTTTGGGAGTGACAGAGCAGAGGAAGTTAATAGGAAGGGTGTTGAGAGAGATGGGATTGGGGAGTTAGCTCATGAGATTGTTTGTACACTTGGGCTTTGTGTATTTCTATTTGCTTTTACGAAGACTACGCTGGAGTTATTTATCGACTATCAATAGACGTTTTGTGTTTTTGCACTATTAGGGTTTGAATTTTGATCTATTACCCCCTGGAATTTGTTAGAGTTGATCTGGAAAATTCCCATTTATTCATCTCGTAATAATCATAATATCTGCAGCATATTAATAATTAGATGAAATTGCGCCATTGGGGATACCAGTTCCTTCATCCTCATTCCTGGCTGGGTAGGAATATTATAAGACAAAAACAAATCCGCGACGCTCTCTTGGTTTCGTCTGTGCATCGTCATATGAACCTTGGAAATTGATCAGAAACAACATAAGATAACCGTTGCCGCATACGCCTGTTGCCCTCTATGCCATAATGAGCATACGAATATAATCGTACTATTCACCTTAAAACCAAAAATCCAGAATAAAACATGCTCTGCGGAAGCTTCTCACATTATTCTCCCCGTTTAAACTGCCACCCAATCCAAATCCTCGCACACCACGCCGTCACCAAAGCGTCCATCAACATTTCATCTAAAGGGGCATCGGCGTCAATTTGCAACCGCGGCTGGCGCATATGGCGACTAACATCATCACAGGAACCACGCGCAACCGTTTCCACAGCAACGGTACCCCCGTCACCATCCTGCCACTGCAGCATCTCCCGCCGTTTCGAACTCCGAGTCGGTTTCACCCGAAATAGCATTGTCTCCGTGTTCCTGCGCACATGCCACAGCACCCACCCAGACTTCAGCAGTTTTTGCGTGGGTTTCAAAAGCAGAACGCCGGGAATTGTGCTCCGGCTACGGCCGGTGATTTCCACTGTGTTGAGCATGGGCAGTCGTCTAAAACTGTAGATATCCTTTTCACGCGGTTGCACGGGCCGTATGTTTGCATTCTGTCCACTGCGGCGCGGCACTAGGCGGGATATGGTGATTTCATGGTGGCCCAGGTCGAGGTGGAAGGAGGTGGCATAGAGGGCGGTGGCAGGGGGTGTGGTTGGATAGATTAGAGTGCCATCCAGGGTTATATCGTGTATATTAGGAGGGGGAGGCTGTTCGGAGAACCCAATTGTTGTTGAATATAAGGTTGACGGAAGGTGAGGTTCGGAGTCACTGTGAAACGGTTCCGCGCCTTGGTCTGATTGGTACTGGGATTCTGCCTCTTCGTAGGATGGTGGAGGATCCGAATGATGTTGCGGCAATGTATCGGCCATTGCTTTGATATTTATTTGTTCTCTATAAGAATGTTAAGGACAATTTCATTTAGACGGATGTGTATAGGATGTGAAGTAGTTCGCAAGGATATATCTAGTTTTGAATGGAGATTGCACTCTGATAGCTCTGCGGTTTAGCAGGAATTCGCGGGTAATAGTTAACCGCTGCACAGATAAACGAACTTAAGTTACTTAGCGAGAGATTCGTATAAAATGGGCGAAAAGGCGGGCATTATTGTATTTAATTCCCTTAGATCTTATAATAGTTAGATTGCTAATTGCAATACAACGTATCTGTAGGATGATTAATTTGTTGGAGAGAACTATATATGCTGCATCACGTGGGGCGTCCAGCCACCAGGACGACGTGAGTACGCCCCAACAACGTCTAACAGCACAACAGTTTATTGTCGAAGAGGCTGTGTTGGTTTAGTGGAGGGTGTTTGGGCTTCCTGAGGTTAATCATCATCATACAAATGCGGAACACCAAGCGTGCCGCGATATCCTCAATAGCTAATGTTGCATCAAGTTGAGCTGTATATTCTCTGCATCTGTCTTCCAACTAACTGGCTAGGAAAAATTAGACGGTTAGACACCAGAAAGAGAATGTGCTGTGCTGATTGAGCGACTACATGACTCATTCAACCACATGACTCATTGGCAGATTCCGACATGATCTTGACAAAGCGCCTGCAGGAAAGTGGTTAACAGAGATGAATATTATTATGGATGCTATAGTTGAGCTTTAAAAAGAAATTATAGAAAGCCCACCATCGTGACAGATGCTGAGAATACAAATGACTCAGATGTGCTATCTTGTTCGTCAGTATGACCCTTCCTTCGATTGAGCATCAAGAAAACAGACCTCGGCGTTAATGTTGTTCTCCGAGTAACGAAAACCTCGACAGTGGAAGTTGCAAAATTTGTGCTGGTGAAATTCGTAATCTCTCCACGCTACTTACACCGGAAGAATACACAATAGGACATCTAACCGTATCCTCAAAAGCAGCAGAGAGGCTGCTACGCTTTCGCATACATCACAAGCGAGAACATATACCGTAGGTTCTCGATGAAGCCTGGGAAGATCTAACAGCAGCTTCTAATACCTCAATCGATGCTTGCATTCAATCCTTACTGTATCGGATGTAGAGGGTAGCACCCATATATATCCTGTCAAGGGTTATAATAAAAGCGTTAAGTCATTGGTCCCACAAAATCGTATTCTTTAGCGGGGTGTGCAGGAGTGCGGTATCCGTAAGATTTCGCGGATGGCATCTAGTAGACACGTTCATTTCAATGTGACTGCAATCTCCACCATATTCACCCAGCGTGTCCGCGACTCTAGCAGTTCCCCATCCGAATCAACTGCTTCGTTCCGTCGTCTCTTCCTTTTCTTCGTCGTGGGTTTCAGCTGTTCTTGTCTATCTCTGCCTTTGCCCTGACCCGAGTTCGGGGTCTCATCACCTCCCTCGGGCGTTTCCTTAGATACGTCAGGGGTGACGGTTTCATTTTCTCCAGCCTCTCCTCTTTTCTCTCTGCTTTCATGGTTCCGCTTCAGACTCTCATCCTCCACAATATCATCCACCACCATCACCGCCCCAGTATTCACCCTGATCGCATATTCCTCTTTTCCCTCAAACCATTTCCCTATGCTTACCGCCTTCTCAATTGCTCGACCAGTGGCTTTGATAAAAACTTCCTCCTTTTTCAGTTCCTCTGTGCTCTCCGTAAAACTCGCAAGCTTCTGCTTCTCGCTGGCTTTACTACTTAAATCGATTTTGGATGTTGCGCGTCGTTCAGCTTGTTTCAAAAGTTTTTGCACACGTTTGGCGGCACTCATAAATGGCGTATTGGTCGAAACATAGACGACTTTGGGTACTTTCGCACAAGCATAGGGAGAAGCCGAAGGGGGGTGGGGAATGGGTCTTCTTTGTATACACGCATCTTTCGAGTGTTAGTGTTTTAGCAATGTATTCCGAGGTCAATTTGGAGGTTTGGTGACATACAGCTGGGGATTTTTTGCATCTTTTTATTTTTCTTCTCAAACTTCAGTTCAGGATGGGGTTTTGGCTTCGTCATTTTGTTGCGGGTAGATATAAGTTTTTTTTATATGCTCAAGTGGATCGATCACAGGATATAGGAAGTGCTGCAACAAATATTTTGTTGATCGTATCAAGGCGCCAGCTGTTTGCTCTGTTTGCCATGGGATCGATCGATCCCTCAAGGGCTTAACACGGTAATTTTTCCCGAACTGACTTCGTCTAAAGATTTTTTGCCCAAAAATTTCTCGAGTCCGGAGCTTCTCAACAGCCCGACAGCAAGGAAAAAAGAACGAAATCCCCGACCCTTCCTATGTCCCCCTTCTCCTCTGTCAGATCCTTTTTTTTTAATACCGCTGTCCCATACGCCCCTCAAAGACTATTATGAGTGAAGAAACCAACGGGGTCACCCCCGAGTCCGGAGGAAGATGCGCTATTGGGCTATCCTTTGGAAACACCAACAGCTCTATAGCTTACACATCACCAGTGAGTAACATGCTCTAGATATCCGGAATGATGGAATATGGCGTCGGCTGACATTGAGTGTTCTTAATCGTAAAGGAAGGGAAAGCGGAAGTAATAGCCAATGAGGAGGGAGGTATGTTTGGACTCGGATCTGGTTTACAGTATATTATTGATATCCAGGGACTAATGGACTCTGAACAGACCGTCACATACCCTCCATTCTTTCATACGTTGATGCGGAAGAATACCATGGGAACCAGGCCAAAGCGCAACTTGTTCGAAATCCTTCGAACACCGTTGCTTATTTCAGAGACTTTCTAGAAAAAGAGTAATTTGCCTTGCCTCCCTTTGTCTCCAAGCCCGTATCAATCCTTTATTTAATTGACGCTGATCCTGTCTTATTATCTATTTTGTTTCGGAAACGAAGCTAACGTTCCGTATCAATAGCTTCAAGTCGATAGATCCAACTCCCTGTCATGCGTCTGCCCATCCTCAATTGCATGGTACCACCATCGCTTTCAAAATCCATGATACCGCCAGCGAAGAACCCAGCACGGTGACGGTCTCAGAAATAGCTACTCGCCATCTGCGTCGTCTCCGGCAGTCTGCATCGGAGTTCCTTGGAAAGGATGTGAATGCAGTCGTTGTCACAGTCCCTACAAATTTCTCGGATGCCCAGCGCTCCGCCTTGACCGTAGCAGCGAAAGCGGCTGGACTTGAAATCCTCCAATTCATCCCAGAACCTGTTGCTGCTCTGCTAGCATATGATGCACGTCCCGAGGCCGTAGTGAAGGACAAGCTAGTTGTGGTAGCTGATCTAGGTGGCACGAGGTCCGATGTTGCTGTCATTGCGTCGCGGGGTGGAATGTACACCATCCTGGCAACTGCCCACGATTACGAACTTGGGGGCGCTCAACTAGATCAAGTCTTGATTAATCATTTTGCCAAGGAATTTATGAAGAAGCACAAGACAGACCCCAGAGAAAATGCCAAAAGTTTGGCTAAACTGAAGTTGGAGGCGGAATCAACTAAGAAGGCCTTAAGTTTAAGTACCAATGCCACTCTTAGCATCGAAAGTCTTGCGGACGGAGTCGATTTCAGCTCTACCGTCAACAGAACAAGATATGAGCTTCTTTCCGCAAAAGTGTTCTCCAGCTTCACCAAGCTAATCGAGGAGGCCGTGAAAAAAGCCGATCTGGACATCCTCGATATTGTTGAGGTTCGACCCCTGAAATCTCCGATTAAGTGTGGTTGTCATTTTTCCTTGCTAACTTGCAGATGTTAGGTTATCCTTTCTGGTGGGACATCTCACACCCCAAAGATCGCAAGGCTTGTCCAATCTCTCTTCCCTGCCACAACAACAGTCCTCGCTCCATCCACCTCACCAACTGCCATCAATCCATCTGACCTGTCCGTGCGCGGTGCCGCAATCCAAGCTTCCCTAATCGAGGAGTTTGAAACAAATGACATCGAACAATCCACCCACCCCATGGTCACTGTAACCCCCCACCTCCAAAACGCCATCGGTGTCCAACTCATCACCGCCACCGACGACAACTACGCCGTCTTTAAACCACTCCTTAATGCCGAAACAGCCCTCCCGGCCCGCCGCACTGCTCATTATGCCGTTCCCAAAGCTGGCGGAGACGTCCTTATCCGCGTCTGTGAAGGTACCCGCGAGATCAAAGTCACGAAACCTGAGCCTAAGGAGAAGCCTGCCAAGGGAGCTGATGGCGAGGACGAGGATTCCGACTTAGACTCCGATGACGAGGAGGAGGAAGATATCAGAGAAATTGTCTGGAAGGTATCCAAGCCAATTGCAGAATTTGCAATCAGGGGTGTCAAGCCCAATGGCAAGGTTGAGGTTATGGTGGCCGTGAGTGAGCAGCTGGCTGTCCAGATCACAGCGCGTGAAGTTGGTGGAAAGGGTGGTGTTAGGGCTCTGGTGGAGCCGCCAAAGGCGACGGAAAACGGAAGTGCATAAATTCGTTGCCTGAACATAACTCCTATGGCGTCTTGTTTCAAAACTCTTTGCAAAAGTCTACAATTTTGACAAATTTTTAGAGGAATAAATCATGTTAGCTCTTCTTTTATTTTTTATTTTTTTTTTTTTCTGCAGAGTGATTTTCTCCATTTACGCCTTGCATTTTATATAGTGGACTAAAAAGACACTAGATATTACTAACCAGCAGTAAACATGAACTATGACAAGGGGTAAAAGCTGTCGCATCGATGAAATCAACAACCACATCCCGATAGTCCACACTGCCTCTCATTTTCACCACAAAGACATGGATTACCCTCCCAACCACCTCAGAAGACGTCAGTTAAACCAAAGAAACTGAGGAAACCAGATTGGAAATTTAGCGTCCAGAAAACAAAACAGCACCTGGAAGGAATGAATCATGAAAATAAACTCCATGCACCCAATGGGCACCTATGCCTTTTGCAGTGGGTAATAACACATAAAATGGGAGGATGCGAGGGAAACAAAAAAGGACACTGCACTAATTATACAATAACATGAGAAGCGGAAGCAGGAAAAGCCTATATTCAGCCCGTGCAACCAACCATGAAGGGTCATTTAGGGTTCCCGCTTTCTCACCCTTCGAGAGAGAGTGGTTAATGTTGAGAAGCCAGTCAAGTAAATCTCGACTATTAATTTCACCTTTAGGCATATTCCTTGTCTGCCGTGGCGTCAGAGGAACTTCGTTTGGTGCTACCGGTTCGGGGAAAGCTTCCATGATGATGTTGTTTCGGAGCAGCGGTGCCAGCGACACTTGCCCCAGCACTCCGCCGCGCTGAGGAGTGGACACCAGCTACGCAGTATAGAAGGCTGGCAAGGAACAGGAGGGTCACAGCGGTCCACATCCATGCAAATGCCTTTGAACCTACTTTGGCGGGCTGGCCGTTTGACGAGAAATTATTGCGACCCTTAACATAGCCGACGCTGTCGTTGTGAAAAGTTAGCAATTTGGTGCCATTGCACAAAAAAGTGATTAGAAAATGGGTGAGTGTGTGCCTGGGGCAGCGTTTCATACGTCATTAGTGTTGTGGTAATAATCTGGAAAATCAATCCGAGTGATGTAAAAAAGGAGGAGAGCCAGCCTCCAATGCTTGTGCAAAAAGCTAACAATCCAGTTGTCATTGCCACGAAAATCCAGAAAAGGCCAATTAACATGAATGCGAACATAAACCGGGTGATGAAGAAGTATTTGTTGGTTCTGCAGTTGGTTAGTTAATCATTCAACTACCGGAGTGCCCCATGTGTATATCCTGCCCACACACACCACCTATTCTTTTTTTAAAGTCGTTTGACAGGCGATGCGGTGACTTAGTGGAACAAAAAAGCAAATGACTTCAAGGCGGAAACACAGCGCAGAGGGAGAGGATCAACAATACCCAATATATTGGCTGGGGACACCCTCAGTGGTACCAAAATTTCGATTCGAAGGAGGATCGAGAGGAAACCCTGGAGAGGTGCCGTTGCAAACGTTCTTCCCATCTACGACACCGCATATACCCCAGAAAGTCCATCTTGACACGAGTTGGGCACCGGGTATTCTCGAAGTGTCTGCCTGCAGGAACCATGTGCGATCCAGGGGTGTTTTATTTTGTGCTCCTCCCAGCAGTGTGAGCATCATAAGTAACCACGCTGCAGCTGTGAATATTAACGCCACTAGGGCAACAAGTGGTCCTAGGAAAAATTCAGTAAGCTAAAATGTCAAGATAAATTTAATTTTTAGAAGAGGAGAACGCACTGCGGGCACCCATCATATTCAGGGCTTGTTCCAGGCGCAACAGGCAATGAAAAGAAATTTGGGTATCCGAACTAGGTGGATAAAGGAACTCGAGGAATTCAAGAGTAATTGTTTTTGCCTCCTTTTGTTTATTAGAGAATAGAAACTCTAAATAATCACTGATATTGATTCCAATAGAAAAGGGAGGTAGAACAATAAAATAAGTACGACGGTCAGTAAATTAGAGCAAGCCAACCCCAGTCAGTGAAAAATGTTAGAGAACAGAATAGAAAGAGGCAAAAAGAGGCAAAAAGGTGACTGTGGGAAATATATCGACAGACAAGACACAAACAACATTTCCAAATTTCCAGGTTTGTTTATGCGAACGAGCTTGGTTCAACGAAGTTAACGTTAGTTACCCGGGTCAACTATGACATAATACTCACGTGGCCGTTGAATATCCGGGGTTAGTCCCTGGGTCCCGGCTCGGCCCTAGCCGTATATGGCTAGGCAGACAACTTTATCTGACCCGGGGCCCCACTTGAGCTGCATTAGGAAAGGCGTGCGGCAACCTCGAGTGACAACCAGAACAACCAAACAACTGTCATTCTCCCATGACGTCGGTTGAACGCCAGAGTTGAACAATCTGATATGACAGCTTCTCCGGCTCTCCAAAGTTTGGTTGTCCTTTTCTGACAAAGATTGGGTTTAGATCGGAACCCAAATGAGCACTGTGAGGGTGTGCTTCCTGTATTCCCTGAGCTCGTGACTGCTCTGCTCTGTCTTTGGGCATATCAGTGAAATATTTTGGTGATACCTTTTATCTTTTTATTCCTCTTCGATCTTTGGCTTCGGATTATGGCTACTTGGGCCTATCCCCAACTCCTGCCCGATCGACTGAAAAGAGAGGAGGATGATTCATTGGTAAACCCAGTCTCCAACCTACCATTCCATTTCCCGCGCTGATGTTCGGCCCGGGAAGGCCCGGGAATTGAAATGGTTTCTAGGTTCCCTTCAAGAATCCCTGGCTTCGTTGCGGGATGGCCTGCAGGAGAGTGCTGCACTCTTATCACCAACTATGCCCGGGTCAACGCTGGTTCTTTCCTCGTTGCGGTCTGAAAATGTGAAGGGATTTGTCACCAGGGTCGGCACAAAAATTGTGAAAGGAGTAGGTTTCTTGTTCCCCTTGCTGTTCTTATATGCATCAAGCTGCCAGTTTTCCATGTCCCTCTTACAAAATTTTCAATTCCAGCCCACTGACAATAGTTGATCATGGGATATGAGCTGTTCAACTAGTGGCCGTATTTGAAGGCTAGAGGTTCGACATGGATTTTCTGGGCTGGGCGTTTTGATTTTCTAGTTGTTGCTAACTTCTACTCCACAAGGACATCCAACTCCGCTTACATTCGTTAACGCCCCCCAAGGGCTCCAATTCCACCAGGTTATTAGTTTCTGATGGACCGGGAGCGGCGGAGATTGCTCTCCGCCATCTTGTTCTTGTACGGCGCCTAATAAATGAGAGTCTCGATGTAATAGACGTAAGCACTTGGACAGGAGATCCTATGAATGCGAGCTTCATCTCAGGCCAGCTGCGGTTACTACATGATAATCTCAGCGAAGCTCGACTGACATTGAAGGGCGAAGGAGAGAAGTCGAAAAAACCATGGTACGAAGATAGTGTGGATGAGAACGTGAGCCACCTCTCCCAATCTTTTAAGAACCCGCCTCATTGAGGCTCGCCATGATATCTTTCTTGAGAGCATTTATGTTAACTGAGATAAAGGCCTTTGCCCCTCCGCTCCCACCATATGTGTCATTTCACCTCTCGATCTCTGAAGCTGCTCTGGTGCTAAATCTCCGAACCCTAGAGCCCGTCACGCCAGAAAACACCCCAGCAACATCTTTTGCCCCGGAAATATCTCTCAGTGGCTTTTTCTTACGAGATCGGATTTTTGGACCACGACATCCTGTTCATGACGAATCTGGCGACGTATTCAATTGGAAAGGGGAAGAGGTTAAAGTGAAGGAAAAGGTTCGAGTAGAGAGTCAAGATCCCAGTCTCCTGTCCGCCATGTCCAAGCTGACCGCTCTCGAACATGATGTTTCGAGGTGGAAATCAGCACTAGGCGTTGTCATGGAGGAAGACGACACAGATAATGAGTGATTAACTTATCCTTCTGGCTGTAAACTTGCATCTTTCCTTTTTCATTTTCACCAGGAGTGTAGAACATCCATCTGAGATCACCTGGTAGCAATCACAAACCTTAATTAATATTTTGGGAGTTTTTGGCTCAGCCAATCAGATTCGCGACCTAATAAGCTTATGAACAAGTACTGTATATTTTTTCACGTGATATTACCCTATAACAAAAATTTCGACCATTGGAGGTTGGTGATTGAGAACCTGCACAATTCAAGTCCTTGTCGTTCATTTTATTCTTTCCCCTTCTCTCATTTCTCCATTTCATTCTGTACTTTAGGCCGTTGCTGCTCTAGCCAGCAGCTATGCTTTCCAAACGGCCTTCAACGAAGGTTTGCACAGCATGTTCTCAAGCTTGGATCCTACTTCATCAAGCTCGAACGGGATTGACGTCCCAGATTCGCAGGCCGAATTCCCATCATTTTTATCCCAGTCGATCTCTAACCACTGCCGCCACACAAAGCCCATGCGGAACAGTAATTCGAAAACTTAATCGTGATACTCTGCAACGATTTGCTTCCACCACTACCTGCGGCGTCGGTGACTCTCCGCAAATCAGAAAGGAGGCTCTATTTGACGTGGTCGATAATATACACCAAACAGAAGATGATATTGTGCAAAGCTTACAAGAGCTGGAGCTCGTCGATACCTTTTCTCATCTTATATACTCCCAAGATCTCGATCTAATGGATACCCTTACCGCGATTGTTGGTCATCGGAGCGAAGCGGACCTGATAGCCAAAGTTACCATGATACGGCAACGGTTTCGTGACTCACTACCGGATAATTTGTTAAGTGGGGAGGAGATGCAATTATATAAAAAATTATATGGAGAACCAATGTCAATGGAGGAGGAAGAGTCCAACATTACTCAAGATGAGCCAGAGCCAGATCAGCTACTTCGGTGTGATGGTGAAGGAGGCTGGGTTGAGGTCGAACATCTTGCTACAGATACTGCAGAGGTTCAAAGCAGTGAACACAACCTTACAAGAGTTTCAGAGTTTGAGAATGACGACGAATATGAACTGGACTATGATGAACTATCATTAGAGGATCGAGCAACCTCGATAGCAAGGATGCTAGGAGGGAAAGTCATTTCTTCGTCCGATTCTGAAGGGCTTTGTGAAAATGGTGCTGACGACAATAACCCGCGAGCACACCCTCTTACTACAGAGGGTAAGTTCACGCCCGGGTCCAAAACTATTTCGCTCCCGTATGATAGCATGACTAAACCAGTATCACGCATGCTTTCATCATATCCCAACAAGCATCTTGCTGAAACAGCTCATAGACTTTTTGGTGGACCAAATCTTCCATATTCCACATCTACGCTGCCCAAGAACATTCCCTCAACCCCTATCCAGCTCGACGCTAGACAGCATGTGATGTCAGACATAGAAAGCCATGCCTACCTTGCAGTCCTCTATCCAGGAATATATGCTTCCGTTCTGTCTGTTCTTGTTGAGGTTCGCAAAAGGTTGGGCTCGACATGGCTTCGCGACCTGATCACTAAAGAGGGTGGTGTAAGGGTTCTTGATGCTGGAGGCGGCGGTGCAGGAATCCTGGCTTGGAGAGAGGTGTTGAAGGCCGAGTGGTTGTTGATGTCTCCCAACAGCCCACCAGGTAGCCCCGTCCCATTTGGAAAATCGACGGTCTTAACAGGGTCAACGTCATTGCGACATCGAGCGAGCCAGTTGCTTGAAAATACGACATTCCTTCCACGCTTGCCCGACTATCTACACGTGCGCGATCAGGCGACCATAACAGATGAGCGGCCCCATTCGCAGCGAAAGCAATACGACGTCATCATTGCGCCTCACACTATCTGGCCTATCCGCGAGGACTACCAACGGAAGGAACATGTTGAAAATTTATGGACCCTTCTCAACCCTGATGGAGGAGTTCTTATCCTTCTTGAAAAGGGTCATCAACGTGGTTTCGAAGCAATTGCAGGGGCTCGCGAAATGATCCTCGAGCGTTTGATTTCTTCACCTGGGTCAACGGAATATGAAAACAAAATTCAATCTCCCGATGCCGAAAGGTTTGTCCAGAAAGGCAAGGGAATGATCATAGCCCCATGCACCACTCACGCCAAATGCCCCATGTATTTGAATCCGGGAAAATCGATCGCGCGGAAGGATTTCTGTCACTTCCAGCAACGCTATTTCCGACCGCCGTATTTACAGCGGATCAGGGGAGAAACTTGCAGAAACCACGAAGACGTAAAATTCAGTTACGTCGCTGTCCAGCGCGGCATGGATATGAGAGAAACCCATGGTATCATCCAAGGAGAACAGGCAACCAACGCTGCGTTTAAAGGCTTTGAACACCTATCGTCTCAGAGAAATGCTGAGGGACCTCCCGCGAATGAAGCACCTAAATTCCACCATCTCTCCCTTCCACGACTCATCCTCCCACCCTTAAAGCGCCAGGGCCACTCCACTCTAGACCTATGCACACCCCACGGCAAGATCGAGCGATGGACTGTCCCGCGCTCCTTTAGCAAACAAGCCTACCGCGACGCTCGAAAGTCTGCTTGGGGAGACCTGTGGGCACTGGGAGCCAAGTCTCGATCGCTGCGAAACATCAAGCTAGGCATTGTGGATAACAAGAGTGGGGACAAGAAACATGATAGGCGTATGCGCAAGCAGTTGTTGGCTGAAAATATGGCTCATGAGGAATATCAGATGGGTTCTAATCATGGAACTGCATCAAGTGTTGAAAAGAAGGATGCGGAGGAGGTAGACAGTGGCATCAGAGAGCTTCGGGATGCGATTGGCCGACTGGATCCCTATGAGAGCCAGCGTAGGGTCTATAAGAAGCCGGAGAAAAAGAGGAAAGTCCCAACGTGGGTGAAGAAGATGGAGGCGAAGAGGAAGGCGAAAGTGAAAAATGACTTTGATGGTTTTGGTGGGGATGTGTAATGAAGGTTGGGGTGGAGGTGGATGTTGCGGGTGTGTATAGTAGGGTGAAGTCATATGGATGGGTAGATTGGCGGCGTTTGGGGTTTGTTCACATATGTATAGAGAAGGGGAAACAGAGTCATCGTTGGATTTCATTAGATAGTAGGTTTGCACATTTGACTTGCCGGACCACGTCACCTTTGTCTAATAGACCGTGAAAACAAGCATTTTGTTACTTAGACCCGCGGAACTTTGCCGGTAGGGGTTTTTAGAATCTTCTCTCACGTTGGGACCCAATGGACGAAAGAAATATCTGCTCTGTACGACTACTACTCTTGCATTGTATGGCATAATTATACAGAGGCAAGCTCGGTGTAATCCTCCGTGCAGTCTTCGTTAAATCTAATATCGGCGCTGTCATCTCAAACAAAACCTATCCGAAACACATTGTCTTCGACGGTACGCATCCCACTCCGAGAACCACGACGAAGCGGACCACGACACAGTTGATAATTGCCATATTCTAATAAAGCCAGATAAGATGGGTGAATATTGAACATCGACAATTCTTGAGCACAGTGTTACCCAAAACATTAACCTCGGGAAATCGTAGCCGGTAACTCACAGAAAACGATGCAGCAATCAGACCATTCACATTCATGATGGTTGAAGGAATCGCGATTGTAAATTGCTAGATATCCAACATGCCCGACTTTGTGTGTCGTTTGCGACGTGCACCACATCCGTGTCGAATCCTTCGCACAGTGCGAATATGGCTGCTCTAGCCCCCGTGTTCCCCAGGTAGGTAGTTATTCCATCATAGTAGTGTAAAACGTTGAGAAAGAGGATATCCCTTGGACCCTTTTTCGCTGTCCATGTCCAAATCGTAATATCGACTATAGAGACGTGTTCTCTCCTCTCGAACGACACATGCGTTCACACATTCAATCAACATTGAAACCCTCCTCATCTAAAGTGACGACACCATTTCACTGCGCCGCCATACTCTTTCTTAGCTGCCTTTCTCTCTGCTTCGACTGCAACTCCAGCCTCTCAACAGCATACTTCAAGCGTTCCTTCTTCTGCACTAATCTGCGCAACTCCGCCGCTTGTCCCGTTGCAGCTGTCTCCGCCTCAGATCGTCCATGAGACAAGGGCCTTAGCGTCTCATGAGAGTTATTATTCCGCCGGGAAGATCGCCCATAATCAACGCCACCATCATCACCGTGAGATAATCTGCCTTGTTGCAACGCGCATTTTGCTTTGAGTGATTGTTCGCGCCGTTCTAGCTTGTCGATATGGTTAGAGGCGAGGGAGAGGAGGTGAACGATACTTGGGTTTATTTCGTCGAGGATGGCTTTTTGGGCTTCACGGAGAGTTGGTTCAGGGAGGAGCTCAAAGTGCTGGATTTTTGGGGTTTTTAAGTGTTAGCCATGTATGCTATCCTGATGGAAATCTGCCTGTTTATCATACTCGTGTGGTCTGGAGGACTTTGCAGAAGCGAGGAAAGTCATTGACTCCCTCATCAAGAATCTGGATCGAAGAGTCTAGCAACCGTAGGGAGGATTGTAAAGAGGATACTGATGATGATAGAGAAGCTGCCATTTCTTTTTATTTATTTTTCCGGAGGGATATGGTCAAACGTTTGTGAAGTGGAGTTTGTATACATCTCCACCTCAACTTGCCCAAAAGTTCTATGGCTGGTCCTTTTTATGTCACGTGATCTCTAAGGCTCTGACTTCTTCATCCAAAACCTCCAAACACTCTCCAATGCAATCATCGCAAGCATCATCGCATATAACCCTCTATCTTACCGTTCCCCCACCGGCAAAGACCAAGGCCGTTCCCTCATTCATACAATCCTCGACATGTCTTTTCTAGGACGAAAGTACCCGGCGCCAGTCGGTAGGTGAAAATTATCTATCCCGCGATTGCACCAATTTCATCCAAACCCATTCCGCTAACCCATATTTCCATATAGCCAAGCCAATGCTTCCTTTCTTCGCTGCAGGTATTCTTGATCCATTTTCCCTAGCTATGTCTCATGGCACTTGATGTTCCAGTGATTTCTTTTCAATGATGAATGGAACGTGGGGAACTTTCAATAACTAACTCCGAATCCATTGGACCAGGCCTGATTGTCCTCTACGGCATCAACGAGTTCGCGAACGTCATGATGAACAGTAAGTAGTTTATTTGCGGCTATGCTCCTTCGCCTGACCCCGTATATCCCGATAAGACGAATATCAACCGATTCACTGGCAATAACCTGGAAAAACCAAATGCTAAACGTTATCCCGCGTTTACAGCACCCGAGTTCAAGAACGACTCGCGCAACCCCCACGCGAAGGCAGCAAAGCTTGAGGAGAAGCGTTGAATGCGGGTGAAAAATATTTTGTTTTTGGAGAACAGGAATCGGTTGATAGGGGCGGTTTGGGACGTCCCGTCGGAATGAATACGCTGTAGATGTATATTGAATAGAGATGGATTGAACATCCAAAATATCGTTATATTTTACTCCTTAGCCTTTCATAAAAGCTGAATGCTCTGTTCAAACCTGTATCATTAGCAATGGAGGCCAATTGGTGACTTTCTTCGACATAGGGAGAATGAAACTACATCGTTGGAACTACCGCTTATCGTCTTTGCATTTGTCGCCGTTAATAGAGGCATCTTTCAGAACACCACCAAAACAATTACCAATATAATGCAAGTTGTAAGCACTTATAAAACCCTAGCTTCTGTTTTTCATATCTCTTCCCGTCTTAATTTTCCAAAACCCTTCCCGTGCGAGAGAGCGGCGCATCCGTGGACTCTCTCCTCAACTACTACCACCCGGACGTGCGCTAACCCGAGTTGGTTCCCTACAAAAGATTCCATCAAAGGAACAGCCAACTCAACCTTCAACAACGTGAACGCAACCCACCACCACACCGTTAAAACAAGAAAGGGATAGAATACTATCCTCCAGATATCATAAAAATGTCACAGTTTCGAGCCAAGAGGCTGGACATCTCCTGCTTCGTCAACCCGCGCGTCATACGGGACCACACGAAGCGGCAGGTCTTCAGCAAATTCGAGCCCGAACGGTAAATAGTCACCCAATGCCCACGCATTCCATGGGGCTGTTCCCATATTTCCGTTTCATGTACATGACATCTGGAGAAATAATTGACTAACCCTTGAAATCGCTACATCCAGACAAGCGCTTCGCTATCTAATCCGCAACACCTCTCTGCCCATGCGTGTCCGCGCTCAGGCGCAACTCAGGCTCTCCCAAATGCACTGCTACACCAACCCCACCCAGATCAAGAACAGATGTATTGCCGGAGGCGTAGCTAGGGGTGTTCTTAGAGATTTCAAGATGGGTAGAGTACGTGTCTTGGTCCCCAACCTACCCTACTCCTACAGACTGGATACCACTATCCGGGTCACTATCTACCTCGATTAACTTTGCAACTTTTCTTGTACAGTTCCAATTTCGAATGCAGGCTCTGGCTGGGAACCTTCCGGGTGTCAGGAAGGCGAGCTGGTGATTTATATTCCTGGATCTATGCGTACCTGGGGCTGGGAACTCATTTGGAGGATTTGCCCTTCTTTTTCTTCTTGTCTTGTTATTGGGGTACCCCTCCGGCGTTTTAGGGCAGAGCGTTTTAGACAAAATATGTAAACGATGTATATATCATTATCCATTTCAATAGAAATCATGCCATTGAACAGAATGTTAATAACTACGCCGTGTCTATTTCGTGTCTGATGTTGTCCACTTCAAGCGGCTTTATTACTTCCTTAACAGGAGTACGCCATGGGTGGCTTCGATCCTCACCTTTATTTTATCTTCTCACTGTCAAATCCTTCCAATCATTTAGTTACCAATCAATTCGCATCACAATAACGCGCTTCGAGCAAATAAATAGTTGTCATGCCCAAGCGCCGTCTATTGGGTTTCTGATTGTGTCTCTTTTTTTCTATTCGTTCTCTTAAATAGGTAATTCCAATTCTGAAACAAGTGGCAGGCTGCAGTCGATTCAGTGTGTTTTTGTATTGCGTCTTGTTGCATTGTGCTGGCATCTCTGTTCACTTATTCCCCTCAGTGTCTTTATTCTCTTCAACACAACTACATGCATTCATTTATTCCTACTAGGTGTTTTCTTTGTCTTCTTTCTCTTATAGTAAAATACAAGCAAATACCTCTGATTTCCGTTCTCACTGACCCACTCTCTCTTTCTTTCCAATGCTAACCCTCCGTCTCCTTTTCTCTCCTGTCCTCTCCATATTTCTCCTGGTTGACTCGCATCTATTGCGCCCTATATACGACACTGCCAGACGGAGCATCATGTTTGTTTTTCGCAGAGATGCCTTGCCCAAGGATCCTGTCTTTCCTGCTGACCTGAAACAGCTTGGGTATGCTTCAGATGTTACTGTTGCCTTTTGGTTTTTATTTCATTCTTTTGCCGAACATATTACTGCTTTGGCTAACGGTAAAACAATAGATACTTCATAAATGAAAGGGACCAGATCAAAATGATTACAAACCCAGAAGAAGATTTTCTCTACAAAATTAATGCCAATGATCGCTACAATGTGATGCAGAAAGAAGCTATGAATAGTAAACCTATCTATCTCCCTCTACTTCTAAGAACTTCAACCATTTCCTCTAGCATCTCATGCCTAGGAAGGAAACAGAGAATCTCAGTGCATGAGAAGATAAGGCTGACAACATTGCCATAATAAAAAATGTTTTTTTGAGAAAACAATAGCATGTATCCGAGAAATTGTCACCTCTCGTCTGGTCAATCTAGGTTTTGAAACCCTCCGCCTTCCAATCGGCGCAGCAGCAAATTCCCAACATGTTCCCATCCTAACCTCCAAGTCCTTTAAGTCCCAGGCCCGCCTCATCGTGGTTTTTGGCGAACCAACACAAGAATTGGGCATCTGGGCCTATCGCGTCATTGGCAAGGAGGGCATCAACATCGGCTCTGCTGTGAATTTTGCTTCTGCTGTCCTGGGGAACAACAACTGCTCCAATGGCCCTAAAACTGATGTGAACAGACTCACTAACTCTAAACCGCAGCCAGGAACAGGGCTCATTCTGACAAATCCCGGCCAGTTAGTATGGCACTGCGCCAACGAACGGGCTATTTCTCTGCCAATGTGGCATGCGCTTCCCAGACGCAGTGCCGTCGAGCCGCCAATGCGGATGACTTTCCGGAATAAGATTCCCGGAAATGAGACGTGGCAGAATCACATTACATACGTGTTTGAGGAAGTGTTGGGGAAACTGGCGGCGTCGGATGTGAAGATTGATGTCATTGGGTTGGCGGAGGGGGGATTGGGTGCTGTACGATATTTGGCTGAACACTGTATGTATATAGTTGTTACGTATCCCGTCAGCGAAGCTGGGCGCACATATCGTCAAACCACCAACCCCATACATCTAGTTGCAAACATCTAACCCAACACAGGGAGCGCCTGGAAGCCCCGTATCTCCTCTCTCTGCCTCACCAACCCACTACACGACACGAACCACCTCCACCCACCCGACTTCGCCAACTTCATTTCCACGCGCAGCCGCGCCTACTTGCTCTCGGAGAAGCCACTTGACACTCCGGTCGTCGGCCGATATGAGCATGGCTGCAACTGCTACTCCTCAGGAGAAGCATTGAATGTCGAATGTATCATACCGAGGGCGTGGGAGAGTATGCTGAGATGGCTGGATTCTATGTTCGAGGATCCGGGATTGGAGGAGATTGGTGTTATTGTTACGTAGGAGAAGGTGGAGGATGAAGAGGATGAGACACTGGATGAGCGGGGAGTAGAGGTCGTGGGTTGAGTGGATGGATGGACCCTTTGTGGACAGGGTGTTTTCTCTTGATCGACGGTGTTTTTCTCCTTTGAGGTGTTGGCTGCAAAGATGGAGTTTTACTCTAATATTTATTTATTTATTTATTTTTATTTTTTTAGTTTTATTTTATTTTTCTTTTTCACCTTTCATTGGAGCATGGGATTTGGAATGAAATACCCCCTCCCGCAACTTTTTCTGTTTAAAGCGCTCTGGGTTGGCTGGAGGGCATGCTGAATACTTTGAAGAATGCAACTCGATCCTATTTAATTTGAAAGAAGAAAAACAATTAACTAAATAAATTACTAGTCATGTAATCAGGATCTGACCCCTGTTGCAGTGAAGAAATATCGTTTTAAACGGAGGTTCCTTTTGCAGAGCATGGATTCTTCAACAAGAGGAATATGCGGGGTATTTATTCCAGTGGGGTAGATTGCCTCTCATCCCGCAGAAGTTCTTATACCAAGATACATGCTCACATTCGTAGGTTTAGACGACATAACCAAAGAACCAAAAAATAATTAAAGAAAGAAGGGATACGGTTACTGTACAAGCTGCGCAGAAATGAAACTATGCTCGAAATGTCCATCTAATCTCCCAACACCTTCTATTGTCATCTCTTTGAAACACTAGAGCAGTGGTATCTGTCAACAATCAGCGCCGTCCGCCATGCAGGACACAATTAGTCAACAATATCTATAAAACACAAAAACCCTTTCCTACGAAGTTCTGTACACGAGCAACAAAATACCAATCAAACACAAACATCTTTCCTCTCAACGTAACTTAAAACCATACCCTCATCACAATCCAGGCACACACCCCCAACAACAAACCTCTCTCAAGAACGGGAGCGGGCTCAATAGTCTTCCTCTCTGCCTGTGCTTCAGCATCCGCCCATCGACCTCATCGCCATCATCATCACCAGCAGCAGCAGCATCCGACATATTCCCATAAGACTCGCAATCCCACCACTCCACCCACTGCGCACGGACAGTCACAAATGACCTTGCGCACACCGAGCAGCGTTTCCCGCCCGCATCTCGGACCTTTTCAGCACGTTTTAAATGTTCCAGCGTTATCGCGGGACCGGCAAAGGTGTCTGGGTCGATGAGATGGGAGATTTTTGGACCGCGGTTATAGGCACGTAGAGCTAGCTCGCGGAGGGGTGGGGTGGGGGTGCGTGAAAAAGAGTGTGGTAACGATTGCGGGGAAGAAAACGATGAAAACGGGATCGGGATGTTGATGTTGGTATTTGTCTCAGGAGCGTCTACAGGGAGTCCGTCTGCGTCGAAATATTTCACAATGCCTGTCGCGACGGGGATGGTGATGGGGATGCGATCACGTAGGGGTATTGCTAGTGGTTTCTCTGTGGGTGATGGAGGTGCGTTTACTATTTTATCCTTTTTTGGCTCCGTGTCCTCATCCTCCTTTACCACAAATGTGCCATCTTGTCGGACGTGGCAATGCCATTGCGCCACATTCGAGGTATCAGGCATCACGAACGGGTTCGGGTGAACTGTCAATTGCCTTAGTTCCGTGTTCCTCTTCTGCAAGAGCTGCAGCACCTCATATGGCAGACAAGAGAGCTGGTTGCCCGCCACATTCAGCTCGCGCAGCTTGGTCAGGTTTCTGATGGAGCCTGGGATCTGTTCCAGTTCGTTGTGCCGCACGCTCAGAACGCTGAGGTTGGAGAGTTCGAAGACTTCTGCAGTTAGGGTTTTTAGTTGGTTGTTGGTCATGAAAAGGCAGAGGAATGGCTCGAAGGAGCTGAAGAATTGCTCGCAGTTGGTGGGAGATCTGGAAATGGAAAAGGATGAGGAAGAAGGACGGGGATTGTCCATTTCGGTGATTACGGGATACTTGGTGAATTGAGAGATTGGGCGGAGGAGTCCGGAGGGGATGGAGCCCATATTAAGGTTGCTTGATATATATCAATGGATGTTTATATTTAAGAGGGGAGATAGGAGAGATATCCATACGAGATGTCAATGAACTCATGCCCCATCTCAAGACAATCCGAAATAATCTTCCGTGCCTGCTTATGTTGAAAGGACTCTTGCACCACCGTCGTCATCGTCTGGACAACTTGTGCATTATTATCTACTTGGCGACTGCGCGCAAACATAGGTCCACGCAGGAACACCGAGCATTGCTCTCTAGCTTCAACATATCCATTGCTGCCGGTTGATACGGCAGCGGCAGAGGCAGGGGTCGAGGAAGCAGTAGTCTCTTTACCATAAGGCGAAATAGCAGCAAACCCTCCAAACCCATTCGCACCTGAAGCGCAAGTATTCCACATTCCCGACTCGACAGAATCATCGCTAGCCAACCACACTCCACTATCTAAATTGCGCTTATCCTTAAATTCAGTCCTCCTCTTCTTGTCTGCAGCGGCATGCTTCTCCTTCTCTGTTTCTTCTTCCCCCCACCATGTCCCCCGATATTGCCGTTTTCTCGTCACCGGCAGTTGCGGCACTCTCCCGCGACTACCAGGACGCGTCGTCGCATTCAACTGCTGCTGCTGCTGCTGCTGCTCCTGCTCCGAGCCATTATGATAATTCTCGAGAGTTGATGATTGGAAATCATCACTTGAGAATAGCGGTGGGTCACTTGAAGGCAAGGAGCTCTCGAAGGCGAAATGATTACTCTGATGGTGCAGATTGGGAGGGAGAGCGGCCGCACGTTGGCGAGAGCGGCGCGGCGGTGGCAGGGGGAAGTCGTCGTCCATTTTATTTATTTTATCTTTATATCTTTATTTCATTGTGTGTTTGCCTTGCACGTTGCTTCAATTGCGTGCAATTGCGTGCCGGCAAACGGCGATCAAATAAAAATAAAAATAAAAAATGATGCTGTCAGTTCAGGAGATCAACAGAATCTTTGGTTATCCGTAACTGACCGTGCGACCCGCGATTTTGGGTCGGTTGGCAATGACTAAGCACCGACAGTGCCATTTTCACGTTTTCTGGTGCTAGGATCCACAACATCTTCTAGAAGTCCCAGGGATCAAAGGATCAAGCGACGATAGCGGGCTTTATGACTCCGGGTGTTCTGACAGACTCCATTTTTAAGGAAACGATGGGACAGGAACCGGGACGGACCGATGGTTCAACAGCTCATCAGCGCTGATGGGAAGAGCATGAAATTTTGGTGGGATATGATCTACAAATGAATTTAACGCGCCATATCCTACGTTGTTTAAACTGTGCGATTGCTTTTTGTTTTTGATGAAGTTCTCAAGTGAATAGCAAACCTGCTCGTGACGAAGCCGAGAAATCACATTGAGCAGTAAAAAGGGGAGTGAGTGAGTGACCAGTGAATCTCACCCATGTCATAACTGTTGCTGAGGGGATGCAACACAATGATACAATCAATCAATTGAGTAGAGTGAAGAATAGTAAAAGGGGGAGATAAAATATAAACCCTCAAATCGGTTACCATAGAAATGTTTCCACAACAGAATACAACACAGGCACTCCCTCCACCAAAACAAGAAAAGGAAAAGGTCGGAACAACTCTAAAACAAAAACCAATGAAACGCCTCCGCTGGGCAGGACCTGGATATAGTTCTCGTTCTTTTCCATTGCAAACACCGTATCACATCAAAAATCAAAGCAAACGCTTCGGAGAATAACGCAAGAAAAAAGGGGGGGTAGAAAATATAAAAATCAAAAAAGAAAAAAAGAAGAAAAGGGAGAAGAGCCAAGGACATAGGGATAGAATCAAAGGTAGTAAACCAGAATATCTCTGTTCTTCTCCAAAATAACAACAAGTTCTCTAACGAACAAATAGGCGCTTGTCAGTGTGGGCAGTTGAGAAACTGCAAGGGCAAATTGACACGACAGCGAAGAAGTGAAGATGGGTATTTTATAGGAGTGTTCCAAGCTCATCATCCCTAAAGTTCGGATTGTAAATGGGGGTATCTGGTCCAAACCTTGAGAAAACAGCAGGGGATTTTCCCGTTGTGTATCCATCATTAAAAAAAATAAAATTAAAATAAAAAGGCGAGGCACAAATAAGGGCTAAGGTATCTGAAAATAAAATGGGACGATCGTCGAGAAGCAAGTGTCTCAAAACATGAGAACGAAAATCAAGTAGAGGAGGAGAGGATTGGAGTTTGAAGGATGGAGTATTAACAATACAGAGTTGGATCAGTCGCGCAAGGCTGGAACGGGGGGAACCGGTTTATGTGCATGTACCACAGTCGAGTCTTGTCGACAGCAGAAGACGAATCGAGAATAAAATACATGAACATTCCACGGGAGCTGGATGTGGGTATCTTTCGAATTGAAGTCATCATTAAAAAATATAGTAGTGGATTAAAAACTAACCAAATCCGGACGTTTAATCGATCTTCCTTGGAGTTGCTGTGGTTTATAATCGTGCGTTTGCGTCTTGAGCCTCTCTCACACTCGTCTTACAGCCTCCCATCCTCTTTCTTGTTTCGTTCTGGGGTTTACAGAGCTGCGCCCAGGAGCACCGCGAAACCTCCAGCCATCACCATGGGCAACGTCGTCGGGGCAACGCCCAAAGCAGCATTTGATTTGGTCAATGGGAAGACATTTGTTGCATTAGCCACAGCTGCGTTGGGAGCAGGAGTGGAGGTAGTGGAATTTCGTGTAGTGGTGGGGGAGCCGGCGGAGCGGAAGACGGTAATGGTCACGGTGTGGGTTATTGTGGTTGTTCTTGTTGTAGTGCCCTCGTCATCAGCGAATGCAAGTTGCGGCGCAAGGAGTAGGAAGAGTGCAGAGAATAACGTGAGGATATTCATATTTGCAGTTGTTTTTCGTTTTGTTTGGACGTTTTGAGTATGGATGACGAGACGATACGTGTTAAAGGATATTCCACACCAGACAACAACAACAACAACAACAACAACAGCAACCAGAAAGGAAGATTGATATCGAGATCGAGATGCTCCGTGCGACGAGGATGGGAGAGATATTGCAAGGGATTAAGAGGAGCCGATTTACGCGTGGATTTACGAGCGAGCGGACAGGAACCCGCAACGTGTTTCGGAAGTATTCTCAGAAAATTTGCTCGCAAACGGCAGACTGCGGTCAAGCGCTGGAGGGTCTAGATTACTTTTAAGGAAAACAGATCAAGTGCGAAAGGAACGATTATCGCAAAGCAATGGAGTAGTCCAAGGAATAAATTACTGGTAAGGAGTGTAGAGAGAGCACTGCTCGACCGGGAATGGGGTGCTTTAGAAAAGAGCGTGGGAGGCTTTGGGGGAAACGCCTGGTAACTAAGGAGGGAACCAGACGTGCGGGTATATAAGAGGTAAGACGAAGAGAGCGGACTCGGGCGCAAGGCAAAAGGGCAACGAACGGGACAGGGGCCAAGGGACAGGGACAGGGGGGGATTTTGGTAGATTACATTAGCTCTCAGACCCCACCCCAGGAGCCAAGACTAACCAGAAGAATCATAGTGGGCAGTGATGATTCGCTCTCCGTGGCCCGACCCAGCGCCCAAGGTTCGCCAGGCACAACAGGCACAGCCGTACCATTCACCGATCCACCACCCCCCAATACCAGATCCGGACTTTCCATGAAATATGGCTATTTGGGGGGAGATTGCGGCGGTGGGGGGGGGGGGATTTCTTGAGGGGATATTACTATTCTGCATAGGCTCCGTCGCAACAACCCCACATTCCACATTGTCACTTCTTCCGTCCTCTCTTCGCTTTGTGCGTGCCCTGGTTTTGTCCCGGAAGCCGCTCTCAATTCAATGTTACCTTCCAGCAGAGAACCGTTGGCTATGACAGCGTCCACGCTATCCAGCAATTAGGTGCTCATGGGCAGCGCCAGCCCAATACAGCTGGACGAAGGCTGACCAAATACCATCTGCCCAATTTCGCTAGTACGGTCTCATTTCGTGTTGGCAAAATCTGACAGGCAAAAGGCGCATAGGCAGAGACGACGCCGAGACTCCAGAAATGAAATTAAGGTGTTTCTTGGACGACGACGACGACTAGGACTCCAGGTTTTCTTAAGCGCTGTGTCTTTTATTCCCTACACTGTAAGAATTCATCATGCTCTAGCTGTAACATCATCCGCAAGGTAGTTAACAGGGGCATACTGAAAGAACCCATCAGGCAGGCATTCAAAAGTTAAAAGGTGTGGAGATTCTTGCGTCTATATCGTCATCGTGATTGCATTAGGAGAACCGGGACAGAACATCCGTACCTGCATTGAAGAGAGGGGAACAAGGGCAGACCGGAAACATAAGGCATCATCGTCAGACAACAAAAAACAAACAGCAAACAGATGCTCCAGACACAAACAAAGAGAAAATCAACATGATGCAGCAGAGAAAGGTTCTAGTTGGCCTAAGTTCTTCACCACTAACTACTTTACGTAACGCCTCCACCACCCCCACTCCCTCCGCGATTCCCTTGTGACGGGCCAGTCGAGAACAGCTGCTTGAATGAAGAAAATGGCTGCGCTGAAGAAAGCAGAAGTAACAGATTGTAGAGTCTTATCAACATATTTCACTGTAATTGAAGTTTGGCGCCCTTGACCTAACTAATCCCAGCGACCGGTCGCTCTTCAGGTCCTTCGACCTTTTCAGGGCGGCTCCGGAGTTCCTGGTTGGCTTGTTCCTAGCATGAATATAATAAGCCCAAGGACCGATCAACTTCTCCCTTTTCGTCTAATTCTTTTGTGTGGTCCGATGGGGCAAATGAAGCATGCATTGGTCGAAATGAAGAATTCTATCATTATTTCCTGTCCATTTTTAGTAATGCTGTTCTACTTTCAAGGCTGTGAACGACCAGAACTTGCTTTTTGGTCTGTGGTTCAATTAGGGCTACTCAGGTAACCCTAACCCTAATCCCAACCTACAACCCTAACCCTGGTATTTAGGGGCGGTGACGTTGAATCAAGATGCAGAAGTAATAAGTGAGTAGTGTATGTGCAGAGGGATGTATACTCCGTCGGCTGTGTGTTTTTGAGATTGATGTGATCAGAGTTGATCAAGGTTTCAAAGTGGGCCAAACCACGTTCAATTGTAACCCCCATTACGAGTTAACATCGCCTGCTGCTCAGAGGAAGGAAAGAGAATGCCGGAATCCTTACCCTTTGTTCTATTTCTCCTTGCGCAAAGGGTTAGGTTCTCTCATGGGTAACATTAGCTATCCTTCAAAACTGAATTTGACCCGGTGTTCGCTTGTGAATAATGACGTTATCATCCCTGTCTGTCAACTTCATTCTGGCATCCATTTTTTTTTTTGGTTTTGGAATTTTGACCTCTTCCATTGATAAAACAGCTCTGCTATTCTTTAACAGCTTTGCCTAGAACACGGAGAGATATCCCTCATCAATGTTGCCATATTCCTCCAGCCACGCTGGACCCATCCATTCACACGACGATGGACCTAATTCATCTGAACTTCGTGGTGTAAAAATAACATCACCACATTCAACCAAACACCAAGGCGAAGTTGGAACCTTGACACTGGCTCCTCGGATATTTCGGGCCGAGCGGGCAGGCTCACCCACGGTCAATGCTTACAAAAATAAAAGAAAGAAAGAAAAAAAAAAATTCAGGTTGCATTTTCTCCCGGAAACACGGGGCTGCTTCTTGAAGCCCATATCTTACTAAAAATGCCTATTGTATCGTTCATTAGATGTGGATGTTTGCTGCTCGTATGACAAGCTCAATCCCGTATTCATGCGCCAGTTTCACTCTAGCCCTACAGGAATCCATGCGCTGCTCTCAATTTTGTCACCGCCGATCATCTCATCTTAGAGGAGGAAAAATAAAGGGGAAATAGAGTTATATAATACTTTGACTTTTTAAACTCCATTATTATTGCTGATCACGGCGATCCGACGGCACGCGAAGTTTTTCGGGCGCACAGCGGAACTGAGCCTCGAATAAAAAGAGCTGCTAATTTTCCTTCCCACTAACTTTTTAGTTTTTATATATTTATTTATCCTCTTTTTGAGAGGCACTTTTTACTTTAAAACTTTGACAGGGAGCAATCGTCACTTGTAGCGAATTCCTTCTTTTAAACCTGCCGACCTGCAAAGGCTCGCTCAGTTTGACCTGCAAGCGTGAGCAGACTAGGTGTGGCAATAATAATGAACTTTTGAATTTTTATTTTGCTGACAAGCTGCTCTAGGAAATTGAAGTTGTACCGGCCCTGCCAATTTCTACAGCGAGCCTATTGATGATAGGCTGGGAACGGAGTACAGTACAAGCCGGGTTATTGCAGGCCAGATTGCGCGGGCATTGTCGCCAGTTCTTGACAACCCGGGAAATTGCCGGATGTACGGTTTCGCCGTTTATTATCACGACTTTTACCCCTAATTACATGCATCAGACACAGTACGTAGGCTGCAGCAAGATGGGAAAGGGAAGCGTGGACACTTGGTCGCGGGCGGCCTTGACACCAATGGTAGTTGCAGAGAAAGGGATAAGTAGCTGTATTGCATAACTACGTCAAGGGTAAACAATAGATGGGTTGAATGGCATGGGCATGTTTTCCTGACATGGGACGTGCTGTGAAGCCCAAAAGAGTCCGTTGGCAGTATCGATTTAAGCATCCCTCCTTTGTCTATGTTGTCGTCGAATTTGGTTTTCAACCTCCTCTAGGCTATAACGTTAAATCCCAAGTGATAGCATCCTACAAAGGAAAAAAAAAAAAAAATTCTTCATGAAGAGATGGGTTATTACCCCTTCCGACCTCGAATTCAGAGCTTAGGATATTGTCATCGTCAACTTTCTCCATTATTATTAACACTTAACACCTTCAGCATGTAGTTAAGCCCTGGTTTGTTTATGCTAGGGACGCGCTTTTCCTACGGGAAGATGCAAAACAAGTCAATTGCAGCTGTTAGCATCTTCCTATAAATCCGGCGGCTCGCCTATAGCTGCTCCGTCTGCGAAATAATAAAGCCAGACTGCAGAGACAATCCATTAAGCTGCTAGAATAGCCAAATAAGTTTGATTTTCACTCATATTTGCTGAATAAATGCTGAATATTAAACTGTACGAAGGTTGAAGCTACTTGTGTTTGAATTGGTGCATACTGAAATAGACTAACTATATCACATGAGTAACGTAATCAACCACCCAACCCCCGTTTACACCCAACGCCCGCTCAAATCTTCATTTTTCATTCATCTTTAACCACCCACAACATGCACCACGAAGCAGTTATACAAGCCGCTATTGATGATTTGAACGCGCAATTAACGCCTAATTACACTGAGACCGCTAAAAAATATGTAATCAGCTGATATACATTGTCAAGGCGTTATAGAGGCGTTCAAATGTCAAGAAAGGAAGCAAGCTCTATCCACTGCAAAGCTCTCACTGATTCGCAAGAAAAACGGCTCCTTTTTCATATCAATTGATTGGCAGATCGCGGTTTCCCTTGTACGCCCCAAATCCTTCATAATCTCGTTGTTGATATTCTAAAAGCACCTATTGGAGTCAACTGGGTGGCTCAGTTCTGCGATTGCCACAAGGATGTGATCAAGTCACTCTATCTGTGAAATATTGATCAAAAATGCAAGATTGCAGACAATTCTGCATACTTCAAGCATTATTTTGATCTTGTAATAGATTTCTTTCTTATACTGCTTTTTTAATTCTCAACTTGCTAATTTATCTTAATTTTCAGCTGCAGGCAAAAATCACGAAATACAACCTTGAACCTGCGAATATCTACAACTTTGATGAGAAAGGATTCCTATTAGGATTCATTCACACCCTCAAACGTATTGTATCGATTAATTCGCTCAAATCGGGCCGTATGATAGGTGCCAGCCAGGATGGCAGTCGAGAATTCATAACACTACTTGCCTCAATTTGTGCAGATGGAACTTCGCTCCCACCTGCTCTCATATATCAAGGGGAATCAAGAGATATGCAAGATACTTGGCTCGAAGATTTTGATAGTGAAAAGGATCAGGCCTACTTCGCTGCTTCAGAAAATGGGTGGAGCAATGATGAATATGGGTTAACGTGATTGAAGAAGATCTTTGAACCTCTTACAAAAAAGAAGGCAGGCCGCAGATATAGACTTCTTATATTGAATGGCCACTCATCCCATGTTAATATGGCATTCATCAATTACGCAGATTGGAATCGAATTCTACTTGCTGTCTTTCCTCCCCATTCTACACACTGATTACAGCCACTAGATGTTGGGATATTTGGACCATTGGGTAAATCATATTCCAAACAACTGAATGAATGAATGAGAACTGGAATGGGATTCATACACACTACAAAGAGGTCTTTTTGGCAGCTTTTTGACACTGCGTGGAAGGAGGCAGTTACATCTTCAAATATTGAAGCTGCATTTGCTGCTACTGGCCTACATCCATTCAATCCGGAACACATTCTTAAAAAGCTTCAAATACGACCTTGCACCCCCCCTGACGCAATATATCAACCAAGAACACCTACTTCTATTGTTGGCCTGTGGAAATTGGTGAAGCAAGTCAAGCAACAGCAGCATCAAATATCTAATGATCTCAACCGGGTGATCCGTGCAGGGGAAAATCTTGCTCTTGATAAAGAGGTTCTTTTAATAGAGAATCAGCAGCTTCAAAGAGCTCTTAATCAAGAGAGGAGACATTGCAAGTGTGGCAGGGCAATGGGGTTGCTAGATCCCTTGAATCCATCATTGACACAGTTCTTCTCACCAGCAAAGGTGCAGAGCATCTGTGAGAATTTGGCGGCCTCAGAGGTTGCCAAAAAGGATGAGCAAGCTTGTAAGGAGGATGCAAAGCTGCAATACACTATTCTTAAGGAACAGAAGGAGGCAGATATCATCCAGCAGAGGATGGAGTGGGAGGCAGCTTGCCAGGCCACAAAACAGCAAAAGGAAATGGATAAGGCCGCAAGAGCTGCTCAACGGCAGATTGACAAGGAGCTTAGAGATGAGAAAAAGGCTCAGGAGCAAAAAGAAAAGGAAGAACGAGCTGCTGTACGGCTACAATCACAATTGAATAAGAAGATGATTGAAGAATTCAAAAATCACCTTACTAATCGGGAAAGTAGACCCTCGATTTCGCAAAGAGTGGCTAAATCGCGTTTTCAGAGCCCTGCCAGGGTGCCCACAGATCCACTGCCAGAGGGATATGACGATATTGCAATCTCTACTGGTTTAATGACTGCTTGCTCACTGAATCTGCCTCCACCCAAGATTTCATGTTCTGGGCGAGTTATTAAGCCAAACAAATGTTTACTGAATTAGCTATATATTTTTATATGTAATTTTCTATATATATTTTCATCCTATAATATATCATCTTAAAATCTAATTGCGTTGTTGAAATAACGTTGAAAATATTTCATCATAGTGATGGCGAAATGGCGGGCGTTGGGTGTAAACGGGCGTTGGGTGGTGGATTACGTTAGTGATGTTGATTTAAAAAGTGATGTAGTTAAACAGTAAGAGAATACTGCCCAGGTCAGCTTAACCCCACTGACACTCTGTCAAGGCGCTCAGACTATGCCATAGTCAATGAGGAAGAAGATTCTGTTACTGGACCTCTTCCAAAAGTGCAGAGCAGTGCCACAGAGGCAACAATGCACTCCGTAAAAGCAGGAGACAGAGTTCTTGAGTCCCAAGTTGAGGCTGGCACTAAAGATCATAAACTTCTCATGTCATGTCTTGCGGCAATATGACTTGCATAAAATGAAACAGCCTACAAACTTCAGTTAAATAGCTTCTTGATTTTATTAAAGAGCTGCAGAAGAGAGATGCCTCAACTGCATTTTAAATATAGAATTTAAAAAATTAAATTTTTGAATTAGACGTAACTGAAAAGTTCTATGAGTTAGAAAATATCTCAGCAAAATTATATTACTGACAATTAAATGCTCATAATCTTCTATTGCTAAATGAATTAGTTTTTGTTCTCAATAGTAAAGAAGTGTATTAAAAGCTATTAAGAATTTATTATGATAATTTTTATACTTAGTATTTTAGAATTTAAAAAAATTAAAAAGTTTTTTTAATTATAAATATATTTGAAATTAATTAAAAGTAAATATTAAAAAATATATATAAATATAAAATATTCATCAAAAAATAAAGATATTGAAATATAAGTAGTAAAAAAAATATTATCATTACTAATATTAAAAAACTTATAAATTTTTTTTATTAAATTTTATTATAAATTTTTTTAAATTAATAAAATTAAAAGAATATAATTTATTTTTATTATAATTAATTATTTTTAAAAGATAATTTAATATATTTTCATTTATAAATAATTAAAATAATTATCTATATTAAATTTTAAAACTTTTAAAGTATTATATTTATTTAAAAATATTGAAAATCTTTAAAATATAATTATATAAAAAAGAAAAAAAATCTCTATTTATTATTATATAATCTTTATTATTGAAAATTAACTAATGTAATTTTCAAGTAAATAGAACACTCAAGTAAGTAGAATATTAAATTAATATATTTTAATTGACTAGATTTTAAATCAAATTATCTCAATATCATAACACTTAATTAAATTAAATTAAATTTCACTAGATTGAGAATATTTTATTCTTATATGATCAAGAGTATTACAATTGCTGTAGTATTGTAAAGCTTGTTGATATGATACAAACTCAGATGATTGAGACTTATAAAATTGAATAACTATATATTTAACAGATATAGTAAATGAAATAATAAGATTCTGAGTTTTATTTCTAGTTAAACCTTCTATATATTGAATTTGACATCTAGATTTTTTCTGTTTTTACTTCTCTATTTTATTTATATTAAATATATTCTGATATTACTTCTTTATAATAGTGGTACTAACTATGCTATATTCACAAATGTTGATAATTTGATCAAGATCTTCTACTAAGCTCTGAGATTGATCTTTCATAAGCTTTTTAATTTTTTTTACTTGTTGCTGCAATTGCTAGAAATTACTAGATGTTTAAAGAACTCAGAATGATAAAATAGATATGTTAAATGATAGTATTAGAGTATGATGTTGGATATTCAGCTGCTGAATAATATAGTCAGACTAAAATGACATTATTTCAGTAGTCTTGAAGTCATTTTGAATATTTTGAGCTTTAAAAGCTTTTATATACACTGTAGAATTGTTAGGCTCAGCGCCCGACCGAGCCCGACCGAGGCCCGCTGCCCGGTTAGACTCGACGTCGGATTAAGCTCGGCGCCCGATTAGGCCTAATCATCGTCACGTGACCACGCTACCATGCGTTATTAATCCAGGCAAGGCCCAGCACCATCTTTCATCACATCAAGCTTAGTATTTCGTTATATAGCAGTTAGCAACGCAGAGAGTTTCCTTCTTATGCAGCTCACATTCGCACCCTAACAAGAATAAGCTTCTAAGAAATCAATTTTAGAAAAAGTATTGATTTCAAGCTGCATTTGCTATTAGACTAAACCATCATATACTCACTTTAAAACTAAACAAATCCTCATATCTAATAAGTGAAAAAGATGTGATGAATGAGAAGGAATGCAATGACAGATAATCATATTATTCTTATAGATTTGATCAAATTTCAAAATAAGATAACTGCTATACTCATCCAGGATAAGAAAAATAGAACTATTAATTTAATATAACTTTACTTCTAGAATAAATACTTATGTAAGTCATTTAAGGCCTATTTCATTAGTAGTTCAGTCATTAGAACTAACATCAAGTACCAAGTCTCTAGTCATTTAAAAGGCCTTCAAACTAGCCTTCTTGCAGATTCTAATCTTTGAGAATGATATATAAAAATAGAGCTCATTCTGATGAATTGACTGACTCAATTACAATTACTCATTTCTGATTTCCAGACTGTAGAAGCTTTGCCCAGCTATAATGCTCACTACTAGTAATAACTTTAGTAGTAGCGCAGAGTCTCATTGCAAAGTCAGTCTCATTAACATTGTATATCTTCTCTAATAGAATTTTATACTCAGCAATTGCATTCTTAAAGATTTTAAATTAAGTTTAAATAATTTTTATATTTTTACATTTAACTCAATCATGATTATAGTGTCTGGAGTAATAGGTCTGAAGTTTAAGACAGTATACCACTAGATTTGATACTTAGTTCTTACAAATACAGGGGGGGTAGTGGTGGAGATGATGAAAGTCTATATAGTAAAAAGATAATTACCTGTATTTTTAATGAATGCTAGCTAGAGAGGAAATCTTTATTTAGCTTGATTTAGCATTTATTCAACTAGTCTATTCACTTCAGCCTGGGCTAATTTGATTTAATTTATATATAGATTCATGTGAACAGGTCAATCATTGAGTTAATAACATAGAGTAGATAATAACACATCAAATACCACATACAGCTTTATAGATTGAGGAAATTTCTTACTTTTTTAAAGTATTTATTACAAGTTTAAACCTTTTCTCTCTCTCAAGAGAATTTAAACTGTTTTTATTATAAATTGATGATATAATTGCATATTGAGATGAATCAGTAGTTAAATTAGAAGATATTTTTGAATTGATATTCTGCTTATTTAAATGTTTATTTCACTTGCTTGAAAATTACATTACTTTAAAATATTAATAAATATAAACTTTAGTTATTTTAAATATAATTATAAAATTTAATTAAAAATATTTTTATAATAATATATTTTATATTATTATAAGTAAATTTAGTAGTCAATAATAGTAATAATAAAATATTTTAATAGTAAAAATAATATACTTATAAATAATTTTTTAAAATTTAATTTTATCTTTTTATCTATATATTTTATATAGATAAATAATAATATTAAAAAATATTTATATAAAATAATAATAAAATACTAATTAATAATTAGTAAAAAATTATAATTTTAAATAATTATAATTAATTATTTAAAAAAATTAATAAACTTTAGTATTTTAATTTTTTTTATAATATTAAAAAGTTTATAAATAAATTAAAGTTATAATAATTAATATTTAATAATAATAAAGAAATATATTAATAAATATAAATAATCTATTAAATAATTTTAGTACTATAGATAAAATTTAATTAAATTTTAAAAATATATAAATTAATTAATCTTTTACTTTATTAATTATTTATTATATAAAATATATAGCTTTTAAAGTTTTAAATAGTTATAATTACTATTTAATATATTTTTTACTTTATAAAATAAATATTTTATTTTATATTATAATTTTATTAATAAAATAATAATAATTATATTTTATATTATTTTGAATATATTTTCAATTATTATATATAGAATAAAGCTAGTTAAAAAAGAATTTTAATTTGTAATTAATATTTTTCTTATATTAATATAAGATTCATAAACTTTAAAGAGAGAAATAAAATATTTTTTACTATTATTTTATCTTATTTTATACAATATTTATAATTTTTCAATATATATATTTTTAGATCTTTATTAATAATATATATATATATATATAATAAAAAAAATTTAATATTTTAAACTTAACTTTTTAAGACTTATTAAATAAAAATTTTTAAAAATTATTCTATGCTATATGAAATAGTACTTTATAAAATAGAATATTAAGATTATTTTAAAACAACTGAAATTTACTTATTTCAGTATAAGCAACTGTTGAAAAGCTTGAATAAATAATTGAATACATTATTAAATATCTCTGTAAAGTCTATTACTTCTACTACAACATAAGAATCACATTGTAAAATCAAAAAAGTGCAGCTTTAATAATTATTTCTTATTGAAAACTTTAATAATTCAAAATAAGAAAAAAGTTGTTATTGAAAACAAACTACTACTTATAAGAACAAGAATTTAGTCAACAGCTTGAACCTTGAAAAGAAAAGACAAAAGTGAGACAAGGCCTTAGATCTATTTAATAAGAAGTATGCTGATTAGATATATATTTTTTTTTTAAAGTATGAGATATCATACAATCTTACTGCTTTGTGAATAAAAATAATCTTTATTTTTCAAGATGAATATCATGAGTTCAATCCTTCTCTTTATTTCATAGAGTTTCTTTTGTTTTTATTGCCAGTTGGTGGCATTTTGACGCGTCAAAGTAGATATGTTGATAAATTGGATACAAGTTTCAATTTGGTGTCCGACTTGGGTTCTGACTGGTTGGGAACTACGTCATGTAACTAACTAGTTAACTATTTAACTTAGGGATAGCTAAGAATCTCCTGAGAACCCTGACAAGAAGTATATCACTGCGATGTTGTTCTGTTTCAAGCAGGGTTCTACCTAGCCTGCCTCTCTTTCTTCCTTCTTGCCCGACTTTCTACATACAGAAGGGATGTGGTATTTACATGACACAAACATGCGTCAAATCCCACGGTCTTTTTGTGAAACTGTACAACGGACACACATACATTCGATGTGGAAAAGGGATTAAGAAAAGGGTGTTGGGGATGATGGTGTATGTATGTACAGAAAATGTATTTCCCTCTCTTTATATCTGCCATTGGGAGCATTACATTATCACCAGTGCAATCATTGGGATTTTATGAAGTAGCTCGCTCTTTGCTCGTGAGGCCAGCAGAGGTTGGTGTTGAAGCCGTCTTATTTTTTCGCTGGCCATTCATAAATGGATTAAAACGCACCATTCCCTGGTGACTCTACTCTCCCATTCTAAACATTCCAGATACGATGCTCCGTGAAGGCAATTTTAGCCTTGAGTACGAGCTTGAGTATCTCGAGTTACCAATAGACACCCTTCCGTTCTGTCTTTGGTTAGAAACCACGCTTGGAATGGGTAATCACCATGATGCTCCCCTCATATACACACAAGATATCGTATGGAACCCCTCGGAGCTATCTCTCCTTGTAAGAACCGAGTATCAGAAAAACAAGCGTACAGCATCATTGACCCACAGGAGAACTCCTGACGTTGCTGTTTCGAAGGACGGACCCCTGACAAGACGTTGCGCCAAAATGTGAAGCAAGATAACATATCTTGATTATTCTTCTATATAGATATGATTTAAAAGTGAACAAAAGTTGAGTAATTCCATCCCACAAACGCCAGGGTCAAGAAGCCTCAGATTTGGGAGGTCTAAGGTACATACAAAAATATTCCCCTCAGCCTCACGCCAGGTGAAGAATTGTCAAGAGTTGTCGAAGTTAGATATCCACCAACAAGTGGTTCCTGCTCCCATTAAAATGTACAGAACATAAAGTGTGGTATTGTGGTATAATAATGCGTAGCCACCAGATACACCTCCCTTATCCTATGATACATGAGCAAGTTGACATCTTAATCGTGCCGTGGGCGGGGATGATATTGCCGGGGAATCATCATTGGGGCCCCTCGAGCTCTTGCCCACACCTGGTTGGAGTTGAGGTGTCCGTCTGTTCGGATAACGCTTCCTATGGACATAAAAAATCTGTTTGATAAATGAATAGAATTAGGGAAATATCTTTAAAGTAAATGATAAAATGTTGGGGGTGTAAAGGAAGCGGAACTATATCTATATACCCGAATGTTGCGCCAGAACCGATCATATATTTGCCCAGGGTTCGCATGACGCCATTGGGTCCGGCACCGTATTGAAAGATCGCAACAGTTCCTGGAGAGATATCAGCCTATTTTGATCCGATTGCTTCAGGGTAACTACTCTAAATGTAATACGTACCCATAATGAAGCCCATGATCAGACCAACCGCTGCAAGTTTCAACTGTTAGAAATTGGGAAGGTTGGGAAAGAAAACATGTTCAACCAGAATGATGCACATACATCCACCCATCATAGCTCCCATTTTAACTACATGACAAGTCAGTCCAGTCAGGCTCTAGCTCTAGCTTCAATGGGTATTTCTCATGCAGCAGTGGGAGACTGACACTTGTCAAAGGCGGAGGGACCATGCATTCCACCCCCACCACTTGCAGGGATCACTGGCGGCATTGTTGCTGGCGGCTGATACGGCCTGTTTTGAAAACAGAACGGAGGGCCCACGAGGAGGGAGGGACTATTCTTGCACGCAAGAGATACGTGGATATGAACAGAGCTTCGGAATGCTTCAGCTTTTGCGCTTCTTCCTTGCCTGGTTCGTTCGTTCGTTCGGTGAAAGCTTGAAGCTTACCTAAGTTAAAGTTGCCATGCGGGAGCTGACTCAGCATCATAGTTCTTTATTATGACTAACCCCTTCTGGACATTCGTTTCGCTTATTGAGAGACCAGCGCCTCACGTGACATCCCAAACGCTTGACCCTTTCTTGGATGATTCTGTCCCATTCATCAACCTTCCTCACTGGCCAACGGTGCGTTCCAACTCCCTTTGACCAGGTGCATTTGTTTTCTAGCATGATTCTTTGGTTACAATTGCCTTCCTCATCTGTTTATGACATCTTGCTGTCTCCTTCGTTGCTTTCTGCGTCTGCTGCTGTCGCCCGACCCGCATCTTCAAGAGCCACGCGATATCAACCGCTCACTTCGACGCTTCAACAATGACCTTGACCTTGGCTGTGAATTTCTAGGCTCGTGAGTGTTTACCATGTTCATATTTGAATCGCCAACCATTGCTTTTAAAACCCCTCGTAGACGTCTACCTGTTATTTAAGTTCGGAAAGAACATCGTCGTCACTTCGGCACTCTCTACCGACATCGCTAACCTACTGATCCCCCCCCCCAAGACCAACGATCTCCCAACCGACCCCGCATATTAACCACCTTCCTATCCTCCATCTGTGCACTACCTGAAACTCGTTATGCTTGTTGCAGGACGCTGCTTGTTCTGAGGCTGTCTGTGTCTCGCGTAGTGTTGACTTGCGGTTTAGAAAGTGCAGAAGGTGCGGCTGATCCATAGCGATTGACAAATTTGACCGTGGATTGTGTCCACAGCCGTTGCCCATCCATGACTGCCGTGGCGTCCCCACCAAGTGTGCAATCTGGGCCTCTGGGATGGTATCCTGCTGTTAACGGTGCCAAAGGAGCGCTTGCCCATTCAAGATCAGACGAAGGACTACGCATGTTTATGCCTCGGAAAAGTGTCCAACGAACAAACTCTTCTTCATCTCTAAACTCAACTTTATCTGCGACATCTACAGCATCGGCGAATTCGCAACACAGTAATGCTAGCCTCGTATCCAACGAGTCGGGATCTGCACCGTCTAAGAAAAAGCCTTACAAATACAGCTGGTCTAATTCCAAGGCCGAACCGGTGTCCGGGGTGACGAATGCTAGATCCCAGACTGTATCTGCACCACCCTCCGGAACCGCAGCATCACCCGCTATGTCTGCTTCTCACCAAGCTTCCCCACTGCTTTCATCTCCGCACGCACTTCAATCTCAGCAAAAAAATGGTGCCCGCCTCGCTAATGGGGGAGGTCTTCACTGCGATCCTCCGGCCATACTGAGTTTATTGCCAATAAATGGAACTTTTGAAAAAAAACAGATAACAGTTCCCTATTTTCCTGAAGTTCTCCGCGTTGGGAGGCAAACAAATGCGAAAACGGTCCCTACTCCCATTAATGGTTACTTCGATTCGAAAGTGCTCTCCCGCCAGCATGCAGAAGTTTGGGCTGACCGGGCAGGAAAAATTTGGATAAGAGATGTGAAATCATCCAATGGAACGTTCGTCAATGGCCAACGTTTATCTCCGGAAAACCGGGATTCCGAACCACATGAACTTCGGGAACATGACACACTTGAGCTTGGAATTGATATCGTTAGCGAAGATCAAAAATCAATTGTCCATCACAAAGTTTCCGCAAAGGTGGAGCATGCTGGAATATACGGCCCGAATATGAACATCTTGGATTTGAATTTTGGCGACATTGACCCAACTGCTGGGGGAGGCCTTCTTCCTCCGTACCTCAGCCACCCCCTTTCACACATGCGTGGCAGGCCAGGAAGTTCTGCTTCTATTGGTAGTAATCGCAGCAACCAAGGAGCTGCTGGAAACCATATGGGCCTGCTGCATCAGCAACGACAAATGAACTACTGGCTCTCTCCCATTTCAATTGAGCAAGTTGTGAAAAGGCTATCGGTAGGTGCTCGACTTTAGAAATCCGCTAGGCTTTTATTTCTCATATACCTAACTGACCGTTACTCCCTCCAGACTGAAATGAAAAAAGCGAAGCAACAAGCCCTCGATCTTAACCAAACCAACAATTTTTTGAGCCACTTGGTCAATTTCGAGACTCTAGAGAAGGAACGGCCCAAACCCTCACCCACAGAGAATCACAACGGTGGGCGTTTGTTGAATGGACGCCCCAAGATGCCGAAGGTGGATCAGATATCTAGATTTTCTGATCCACCCGCACCTCCACCACAGCAGCCCCTACCCGAAAAACCTGATGCTCCATCTCGTGGTATCCCAGATTCTGTTCCCCAGGCAAGCTTGAAACGATCAGACACAGAAAAGCCTAGGCTTCCTATGACTTCGCCAGTAATTCGCGAATCAAGCCAGATATTGTCCCTGATCGAGGCGTTGGCCAATGCCAAAAAGGATCTTGATGCACAAGGTGCCCGGGTTAAGGAACTGGAAGATCTTTTACTCGAGGAGCGAGCAGCCAGAGAACAAGCTGAGGAAAGGGCGCGAAACCTGGAAGCAAAACCCTTAAATCAAGACGTAAGATCGGAAATGGAAGCAGCATTTGAACCCCCCAGTACTCCGGACGACAATACTCTTGTGATTGAGAAGGATTCCGGCATTGATCCGTCCGAATTAGAGTTGTCGAAGCCAGCTCCCGATTCAATGCCACCTCAACCTAGCAAACCGTCATCTGACTTGACTTCCCAACTGCTGCAACGCCGCCTCGACAATATGATTGCTGAAATGGATGAAATGAGGAAACAAATTGTGATATATAAACAGTCTGCGCAGAAGGCCGAGAATGAGGCGTCTGAGACCCGCAAAACCCTTGCACAAATGATAGAAAAGATTCGAAATACTCACACCGAAACACCCCCACATTCGCCAGCGGAAGCCACCAGCATTGGTTTGGCTAATAATCAGACGAAGACTGACATCCTTGTCGATAGCTTTAACAAGAACCTTGATCAGCCCAATTGCCAACGCTATGCCAGCTCAAACTCCCATCAGCTCGATCTAGCAAGCAAGGAAGTCTACGAAGCTTATGTTAAACAGCGGCATAAGAACATGTTGAATCAATCAGTACCCTACGCATCCATGCTTGGCGTGGTTTTACTCGGTGTGGGGATCATGGCCTATTTAAATGGATGGCAGAGAGGGGATAAATGATGAGCTCTACTTCTGATTGCCTTCTCTTTTCCCATTTACTCTTTCTGCCGCAACCGGGTGCTGGATTATCAGGATCGACGACCTTCTTGAAATCCGACCGTGGCGTGTACAACACGACCGTCTTCGTTCATTTTGCAGCTTATTTTCTTTCTGATGTTTTTCCATTTACCTTCTTCCAATCTTGTAGGGTTTGGTTATTGCAAGCAGGTTTGGCGACTCATTCGACTTCGGTTCGGAGTATTTTCCTCATTTCATTTCTTTTTTGTGTGCCATTATCGATTCTCCCTGCTGTTTTACTCCCCAATTTTTTTATTATTATTTCATACATTAACATGCCCTGCACCAATCATGTAAACTTGGTATGTCAGGCCATGATGACGAACTTGTCCTCTCTTGAACAGTTCAGGAGTTAATAAGCTATTTTCACTTCTCTTGAGCGAGCTATATATATTTTTGTTTTCTTCGTTTTCTTCTTTTTCAGTTTTTCTATCTCCACCTCAATTGAATCTGAGAAGAACATTCTTCTAACCACTGTCTCTTATGTCAACGATGTTCCGATATTTCCGTCTTTCGTCAATGTTTCTTGATGTACATGGTTCTTCTCTTTAGCATGCACTTAAAATCCGGCTACGTTTTTGGTTGTTTATGACTTGGGGGAGAATTAGTTGAAGAATGCGGCGAGAAAGAATTAGTTGGATTTCCAGTAGTTATCGGATAGTCAAGAGAATCTTTGATTAGATCATCTACCACCAGACATAACTCCTAGCGGTACCTCAACTGGGTATGATGTATCAAATGAGCATCAAATAGGACTACCTGTTTTCTCCACCTTTTTTTGGGATTATGCTCCTGTATCTATTCAGGAATAGCTTTCTCGAGTTGAATGCAAGGATGAAGCTCCCCCCTTGGTGGTTGTACATGCTTGCGGGCATTGCTGAATTAATATGTGCACTTGTGATTGGCCGGAACAATGCTCAAGTTGTTGTTGTTCAGGTTGGATCTGGATTTGCCTCGACATGTAGGAGCGGGATGGTCTGGAACCCAATGACTGGATACGATAACCCCGAGACTTATGCAGCTAGTTGGCAGCTAACACGGTTCCACCATGCAGCCCGTTATGGCGACGGACATAATGCTGTATGAAGAATAATGTCTAGCAGTCAGCCCTTAGCATTGCTCATGCTGAATGCTGCTGTAAATAAATCTACCCAGACATCCCGGTCGGTGTCTGTTGCTCCCAGATGTCCCTAGGCTGCCATCATTTGTTTTACATACATTTTAGGGGGTTCTCAGAAAGGGCCGAAAGGACACGCGACCTGGTCACTAGAATTTCTATAAGAATCCATATAAAAGCAGAAAAAACAACTGCGAAAACCGGACAGAAAACGTCTGAGAAACTTGGAATGGATTCAAACAACAACATCCCCACCTATGTCTTCCGAGATATCGTCGGGACCGATATTCTGTCCCCTATTTCCACTGAGGTCGTCAATCATATCATTTCCAACCCTCCATTCGTTCCTATCCCGGGGCTTTTCAATTTCCGAGACCTCAGCCATCCGCTCATCACGCCGCCACTCCTGAGGCAAAACTACATCTTCCGCTCTGGCATGCTTTCATTTCTTGAGGACGAAGGGAAGGTCAAGCTTACAGCTGGGCTAGGAGTGAAGAAAATCTTTGACTTGCGGTCTGCGCCGGAATTGGTCAAGTTTCCATCTCCGGAGATCGAAGGCGTGGAAGTGCGGTGGCTGCCCACCGTATCAGAGGCAAAGCATTTTCATGTAGCTGATTATGAAGTCGGGGATGCCGTCGCGGTAATGACGAGGATGTACCAAAATATTCTTGTTTCTCATGTGCCCATCTATACGTCTGTGTTTGAACATATAAGGGACCTCCCCGAGGAGCCTTTCTTCTTCCACTGTACAGGTGAGACACATGTTCCCCGTGGATGCTTTATTCGGAAGGATTTTGTATATACATACAATCTCCATCCTCCTTGATAAATTTGCCTTCCCCCCCCCCCTTCCCCCGGCTCCCCAAACGGAGAACCTAGTTTGTGGCTTCGTCTCTTCTAACCTGGTTTCACTTGCACAGCTGGAAAAGACAGGACGGGTGTTCTAGCAGCTCTTATCCTCCATATTGCCGGTTGCTCCCCTGACATCATTGCCGAAGACTACGTTCTCACCCGTGTGGGGTTCGAACCTGTCAGAGAAGTTCTACTTAAATCTCTACTTGATGGAACAGAAAATGTGGACGAGTCAGTGAAGAGAGGCGTGGCAGTCGTTGGAGGAGTTCCGTATGAAGCAATGGTGCAATTTCTTGTGTTTCTGGAAAGGGATTTCGAGGGAGGGGCGGAGGGTTATCTTCGTACCAAGTTAGGGTTTTCGGGGAAAGATATTGAGAGAATTCGGCAAAATTTGAGAGCCTAATGAGAGGAATGAAATCCTGTTTGGGGGGAGAGCGTTAAACGCACTTGAAGAGGGGAGGTTGTGGAAAGATTCTCTTCCACGTTGAAATGTCGCGGGAAATGGCGAAGATACGACATTGGGATGGTTTCAGCGGCATTCAGGACATGTCCAGTCGGCTCGGGTACCACGAAAAGCGCAATAACTCGAATGAGATACAATTTTTGTGAGTTACATGCTAATACAATGTAGAATGGATCCTTTTCTTTCCTTTCTTTGTTTCTTGTTTTATTTATCTTGCACTCCTTCGCATTAACAGAGATGCAGCAATTTGACTGTCAACCCGGAATATACTGTTGCAGCTTGTGCTTCTACGTAGCTAGATGCTATAGCCCTCTATTATATGCTGCTCTGGTACCTCACTGTGCAACATGCGCCCACAGGATTCCAGGACGTTTGGGATGCCTTCCACCTCGAAGAGCCGTATAGCACCCATCGCCCTCTCTGACCAAAACGACTTTATAAGAGACTTCGGAAATGCTCAGACTCACGGACTGAGCATCTATGAATCGTCCTGTTTGCTGTCGCTCACTCTCCCAATTGTCGACAAATATACCTGTCGGCGGTGTTGCAATGCCCTGGATTGCCGCTTCCACCCAAGGGCAGGCAATGCTTGCGGGCTGCTCATTCCTTTCGCACGGCATTACAGATCCATGTTGTTTATTTATCTTTTGATGTTTCCATTCTGTATTTTCTTTCCTATTCCTTTTTCCTGCTCTTCTCAAGCAGCCTCGTTTTCTCCTAGAAACTCGTTCATCTTGCATTTAAACATATCCTAGAAAACACTTATAACAAGGATTGCCCCCAAGAGGTACTGCTTCTTCCGTGTATACCTTTTATCTTCGGATCACTCTTAGCATATAATTTTCTTATTGTGCTGTAACAGCATCTTCCGGCATTTTTACTGTCGCAATGCAGTCGTTTATACTGCGACTTTTTGGTCTGGCATCGCTGCAGTATGCGCTGGCTGAATTCAATTTCTACGCCAATTACGATGAAGCTACGGCCGCAGAAACTCTTGGTCTATCCACCCGGTGCTTGTCTGCCTTGTATGTTCGGCTCATTCCTGTCCCCTCTGGATTGAGATCGTGTTAACGGATGAAGGAACCAAACTGTCGGCTGTGATGCTGCAAATGCGGCTCGGGCAGCAAATGGTGCTGATGGTGAATGTATTTACCTACCCTAATTTATCCTTCATTTCCTCTAATATTTATGCACTTGCTGACATACCGCAACTAAATAGTCTGGTTTAGGGATAATGTAACTTCGCTATGTACCGTGGAGTGCTCAAAGGCTCTTACATCTTGGCTCTCAGACGTCGATATTCAATGTTCCAGTGATCAGCTTGTCACCAATGGCCGTTTCATTGATCCTTATACGATCCCTCTGAAGTACGTCGCTGGTTATGATATGGCTTGTCTGCAAGACAGGTATGAACCCTTCGTCCTTCAAGTGACATGCAATAATTCTAACTGGCAGTAGTTTTAATAATTGGTGTTTTCTGGAATCCCAAGGCTGGGAGGGTATTGCCAATGTCGAGTGAGCTCTTTCCACCTGAGGATACTTTCATATATGGAATTGAGATTCTGACGATAGAAGATGGGGCGCCGACCTGTGTTATGGCGACGATCCTCCACCCAAGTGCGAAAAACAAATCTTGACGATAGACGCCGCGACTCCTGACTTTGAAGAGATGTCTGTGACCAATATGTACAGCGAGGATTTGGTAAGCGTTGAAAATTTCTTGTGCCGGCTGCAATGCTAGAGGAACTAACTTTTTTTTTTTTACAGTTTTGCAGTGAATGCTTTATGCTGATATGGAGACAACGACTGCTTTCTCCATTCCTCTCTCCTGGGAAATTCGCGGAGTATCTGTTTGACCAGTTCACTAAAATGAAAGATGTCTGCTCTCCAGACTCATCAGTTCCGATTCCTGAACCTTCTGGAGAGAATGAAACCCCCACGTCCGTTCGAAAACGAGCAGAAAATCCTTATGAAAACGCTGGTAGGATATCAGTTCACTCTCTTTCCTACCGCAGATTTAGGACTAATAATACCCGTAGCCACCCCACCTATGCCAACTCAGCCAGGATCTATCGGGGAGTGTACTTACTACTATAACGTGGTTGCTGGTGATACGGTTAGTTGTTCTCCCAAAGAGTGCTTCTAAAACAAATGTCTTCTAATTAGAATATTCCAAAGTGCATGTCGATTTCGTTAAACTTGTAAGTTGGTTAGACATTGATCAAAATTCGTTAAAAATCGGTTGTCTTACAATTTCTAGGGGAATATCTTTCCATGACCTTAGAAGACTCAATCCGCAGGTTAGATCCAACGATTATGATATTGGCTTTAAGTTAGTGTTTCTATATTTTGAATTTGCTGATTAGAGTTGGCGATACAGCTAGATAGGGACTGTTCCAACTTATGGGTAGACCATGCGATTTGCATAGGTCCTATTGAAACGTATCCAATTTCCGAAGATGGCAACTGTGGTGAGGAGTATGGGACTGTTTGTGAGGGATCAGAGTTTGGCTCGTGAGTTTCTTATATCATCTGAAACAGTTGTTCGGTGATGCTAATAAACGTCGTCTAGATGTGTAAGACTCAAAGTCTGAAGCTTAATACTGCGTTCTATTAACTCCCATGATTTTGTAGTGCAATTCAAACAATCGATGTGGACCTTGTAGTCTCGATGACTCGATTCCAGAAGAAGATGTCCCGATTGATCCTACACCTACTAATCCAATCCCAGACGACTCCATTCCCGAAAATGGCGGTCCTGCAGAGTCTAAACCTGCCAGTCCAGCTCCAGACAGCCCTATTCCCAGCACCACTCCTCCAAGTGATGTTGCTGATGGTCCTACCAGAAGTCCGATCCCCGTGGATCCAACCTCTGTCAGTCCCATCCCGCCAAAGGAAACAGGGCGCCCTGATAATAGCACATCAAAGATTAGTTTAGACGGAAAGTGCAGTCCCGATATCTCGTGTACCGGATCTAGTTTCGGCGAATGTTGCAGCATCAATGGCTTTTGTGGGACAGGACCTGGATGGTGTGGTAAGTATGGGCTCGTGATAAACCCTTTCATGGGCATTAAATTTATGTATTCTGAGAGCTGATGATGGCTAGGTCTCGGGAACTGTCTCTCTGGCGCTTGCCAGAAAGACACGAGCGGGATAAGCTTTGATGGAACTTGTGGGCCCCTGTTCCCCGCTAACAGGACTTGTGTTGGCTCAAAATTTGGCGATTGTTGTAGCACCTCTGGTTATTGCGGCACCGGGCCCGGCTGGTGTGGTACGCAATCTTCACCTCTTCTGCCACCTATAGACCTATTTCTGCACATTGTCCAGCGCTCACATACTTTTAGGCTATGGAAATTGCTATTCGGGTGCTTGTGATACCTCACTGGGTGGCGTGAGCTTGGATGGAACTTGTGGTCCAAAGTTTCCAGGAAATATGACATGTGTGGGGAGCACATTTGGAGAGTGGTAAGTGAAATAATGGATTTCTTCAAGATAAATGAGTTTGGTTCCTCGACATTCCCTATCCACTACAATTTTTATCGAGAATGAATGAAGTTGGCTAGTTTAACTGACACTCTGTCCAGTTGCTCAACGAGCGGATTCTGTGGAACTTCATCACGACATTGCGGTATTGCAACCTGCTATTCTGGAAAATGTGAAGCCAGTCCCAAGGATGGCAACAATAAGGACACGGAAGATGAGAACAAGGGGGAGAAGGAAAGGGAAGATAGTGATAGGGGAGATAAGAAGGAGAAGGAGAGAGCAGGAGGATGGTCGCACTGAAGACAAAGAAAAGGGAGGGAAGGGGGTAGACGGTAAGGATAAGGGCGAGCAGGAAAAGGGAGTGGGAGAAGGGGAGTCCAAGGACATGGACGTCGGTGGGATTAAAGATTAGGTTATAGCCAGGTTGTAGATTGTATTGTATTTTGGGAACATTGTCACTCGTTAGGGCTGCGCAAAATATTTCGAAGAGACGTATAGCCAAGCATGAGAATTTCGAATGAATGATGCGAGCAGCAACCTGGATAAGGCCAGGCATGGAAGAAGAAATCTATCTTTGCTGAACCTTTCATACCATTCATTCTGTTACTCTGTACCAATTCCGCCTTTTCCGGATAATCCAAGGCTTTTTGGTAACCACCCCTGGATCTGTGGTTCGCATTGCTGCCCAACCCCCCAGAATTCATTTTCCCGCATTTCTAATGCTCGGGATTAACCAATGGAATTTAATGGAGGGCCAATCCCAGAGAGTATTGGCCAACCAAAGGCTGCATCGTTAACTGTCCCCCGCTCACGTCCGACATCAACTTTTCCTCCAAACACCAAGGCACGAAGCGGGCAAACAACCATGGATGATGGATTCCGACACTCCACTATAATGACATGGATTCTTCGTTCCTGAGCCGGATTTTTCCTGTATTTCTCTGCTGCTGGCTGCTCCGCACATTCCGGGCCGCTTTTAGATTTCATGTGTGGTGGTGAGGATACCCAGCATTGATAAGTCAGGATGAATTAAAGGATGTTTTTGTTAGTAGGGAAGATTTAAAATTACAAAGAGGATATGAAGGGGAGATTAATGATGCTGTACATCCGTCCTCACAGAGATTCATTATCATGCACCAGGCAATATTAAAATACTTGGAACTGCTCGAAACTGACCTTCCGTATATCACACAACTACATCAGTGCGAGCAATGGATTCTCAAACTCCCAGCAAGAAAGACCTGCTTCCTACAGGAGCACAGATCCCCTTTCAGTCATTTCAACCGCCTGTCTTTCCACCGGAAGCGTGTAAGCTCCAGAAATTGACTCTGGCGTCCGATATAAGTCTGCCTGACTACTTGACTTTTTAACAAAACCTGCCCTGATTGAAGACGCTATCCCCTGATCCCTACCGACTGGGATTGAATCTCTCACCCTAGAGCTTTTCTCCCTACGTTACGCGGCTCCATTCCTATCACAGCTGCCAAACTTGAGGTCATTGACTGGATACAGCTAACTTATTGATGGGGTGAATTAAGAAAAGACGGGGGGGGGGAGTTCTTCAACGACATGCTTGCTGGTGTCAAAAGTGAGATGACGACAACAATAAAGAATGGATTACATATTCTTGATGTATTCTGTCGTAAGGGGTTCATGTCTGGGAATGGCGCGATTTTCGGAGATTTGCATCGCATGAATAACCCCTATGACACCGAAAAAGAAGAAGGGGACATGCCAAAGTTGCGCGATTCTTGGAGATATCTTATACGTACCGCGGCCATTCCGATAAGGATTTTCTTAGTCATATCCCTGGCGATGAGCTCCCTGCAATGCTAGGACCTTTCGTAATGGCGGTTTCGTTTAATTTAAATGCACCTCCATCGGTGAATCCGGCAACAGGCGATAATGGTGACCTTCCGCATGACCCCGCGGATAAGGATGAGGAGGAAGGGAATCCGATTCCAGGCAAAAAGTCTGAGGGGGTCATTCCACTTCTTAACTCGAATGCGGAGACGGAGGTTCTTGTCAGGAAATTGACTGGTGGTGAGGGTGGCTGGACATCGAGAGGAGATAGATAATCGGGAAGAGGACCAACAAGAACTTTCTTTCTCTCCGGAATCTGGGCCCGGGCCCAGCTGCCCTGAAACTGCTGGAATCAACACTATATATACCCTTGACACTGATCAGTGAGATTTAAATCATGGTTGTTCAGACAAAAATAAGTGTTTTGAGCGTCAGTGTGCTTGTGGAGCCGATTGTGGATTGGAAGGAGAAAATAGTCCTTGCGTTGCACGGGGATGCGAATGGGTCTGGAGGCGCGGAATTGGAAATTGTAGAGGTTGTTGGTGTTCCTAATGATTGATCAATTTGATAAGGAGGTTCGTTTCCTTTAGTTACCTGCTTACCCGTTAATTACAGCGCTGACAATATTATTTAGGGATCTTTCTTCTCCAATTCGTCAGACCCTCAGGAACTACCCTCTCGATTTTGGAAAAAGTGTTTCCGTCCGCTACGGATATGGCTTTAAGATCGAAATACTCGCCTAAATTAGAGAGCTTCCGGGTGTCGATCCTTCGCGCCACTAGTTTTGGATATGTGGAGTGGAATAGGGCTGAGGGAACAAGTGATGGGTGGTGGGTTGGTGGCATTAAGCTGGGAACTGCTTGAATTAGTTTTGAGTGGGAGAATGGCCAGTTTCTTTAGGGCAGTTGGTCCAGGAGGAGATGGTACTCAGCCATTTTGAGAAGACAAGTGGAGGGCCGTGGGATCACTTTTACATTGAATTGAATTTGCTAACCTGTCACAGAATTGCGCTGTCGTTGGCTTTGTCATGCACGAATACGATAACTAGTCATGCTAAATAGACCTATCCAAACATCCCAAATTAAGTATGTTAAGATTCGCAGGTTACCAATACGAATGCACATAAAAGAAAGAACATGCGGCTTAAACGATCCATACTCTACTCCAATTTTTTCGTCTGATCCATGGTGGGTGCCTTGTAAATAGATCTCTCAAGGTTGGAAGCCCAAAGTGCCCCGCCAACCGTGTTGGTGTATGAGAAAGCCAGAGATGCAAAGGGAACCATTTCCAGAACAAACGCCGCTGCCCCGAAACTGTATACGGGGTGGAAAGTAGAGCACATTTGTTAGTCCCATCTTGATGACCAGATAAAGACAAGAAGGAACTGGATTAATAGCTCTCTAAGAGATTCGTTCTCACCTTGTATACGCAGCCTTGTGAGCCGACACCCACGCTTCCCTTTTCTTCCCATCCCACCCTTTCAACTGGAAGTATCTCTCATGTGTCACAGGCCCTAACCTCTTCCCCTGAGAAATAACATACAACACCGTTCCCACCACCGGAATCATGTTCAACGGCAAATACATCAACGACCTCATCATCGACGACAACGAGAATACCTTCGTCGGTTTACGAATCACATCTCCCAGCCGTGCTACAGGATCTGATGCAGTGCTGCCCTTGATCTGTCGGCCCTCGGCGACAAGCGCCGTCTCTCCGCGTGCAACCAGCGTGCCGTCGAAGATATCAACGAGGGAATCTCGGAGGATGAAGCTGCGTGAGAGGTAGTTTGTGATTGTGGAGCTCTCGCTGAGCACGAGGAGGATTGCAGAAAATGGGGCAAGGGGTCCGCTGGTGAAGGCTAAGATGGCTACTTGGGGGATGTAGGTGAAGAAGAACATTGTGGTGGTTACGGCGAGGCCGAGAGTGATTGTTGGGCCGATCTTGGATATGAGGGGCTGCCAGAGAGAGCGGTGGTAGAAGAAATAGAGGATTCCCTGGCATGTTCTGTTAGCATCAATGTAGTTATTGTACAGCACCACTCCAGTGTGTTGAAGACGGGTTGTCATTTGGCAATGGGAAATGAGAACTATGCGCACACCTGGAAGGGGTACAAGTATGTGCCTGATCTGGCTGCTTCTGTGAGAAACACTTTGAGATCATTGACCTCGTTCATAAACAGAGCTTTGAGCCTGTCTGCCATGATGGATAGATATAGTTATATGAAAGTGGTGAGGCTCTTCCCGGCTCAAGAGGTTGACTTTTCAGTCAAGTTGGGTGATTTGTAAGGGGAGACTAGATTATCATATCTACCTTCCATGGGTTGGTTGGATGGTTATTCCAAGATTTATATACTTTGATTTAAAAGATATGCTTAAATAAACGACGTCAAATCTCGAAATGCTTGATATATATAGAGTAGCTTAGAGATTGCAGATGACGTCACTCAGGTGACCTAAGCCAAGCCGGCGCGGAAGAACCTTGGAGGTAATATCTAGAAAACTTGTATTTACAGATTTCAGTTAATGTTGATGATTTACCAAAGCCAGGCATGATGCCTCCATGGACACTAAGACCAAGCAAAGCTATTTCTCTCCTCAACCGCCATAAAAGAATTCAAGGAAAGCATAGGATTGAGCAACAACAGTTGAACTGTAGGCAGCCCACACTCCCCGTCAAGAAGTTATTTATAATTTGGGATGGACCCAATTTGAAAAGAATCAATCCCTCAACTAGGATATCAACGACTGAGACAACGCAACAAAAAAGGAGCAAACATAATATTGGCGATTAATCCTCCCATCTTACAAAGCCTTGAGTATTAAAGCAAATATGATTCATTTTTGCAATAACGCCTAAAACGCCAAATGTAATCCGCTCCTCCAGTAGCCTCCCAACATTCACTAAACCTAACAAAACAAAGGAGAGGCTGGAAATTATGCCTGTAAGGGAGTGGGATATGAAGCTGGATGCTCCGTCAATGTGGGGGGGGGGGGGGGGGGGGGGGAAGGTGATGCTTAAATGGAGGATGTTGATATTTAACGGTTTCGATCGGATCGGGATGGTGTTTGATGCCACATCGAATCACCCCTGAGGGCAAAAAGGCGTAAAGACGCGAGATTGCTCCAATTGGATTGGGAACTGGAGTTCTGGGAATTGTTGAGCAGAGATGTCGTGGAGTTATCTCCTTGCTCTAGGTCAGAATCAATATCATCTGGGACATAATCCAAGGGAACGGCTGCGGACGGAGAATCGTTGCGAGTTTCAGCAATGCGGGCTTGCATATCCTCTGACATTCGCTCGGGATGTCCGGACCGTTGAGGACTAGAAGATCGACGGCCCAGTGAACGAACGACATCACCTTTGCATATTGGACAGGTACGTCGTCGTGTGGTGAGCCAGGGGGTGCTGGAAGGCAGACAGTCAGAATCTGAATAATGAACTGAGGAGTGAACGGGGCGGGGGTAGGAAATACTTACATGCACTCTGCATGGAATTCATGGCCACAAGGGAGGCTCATTACTCTGCTCTGTCCATCAATATACTCTTCAAGACAGACAGCACATTCGACTTGTCTGCTGGTATATCTTCGACGCCATAGACTAGAACCAGAATTTGATTTCTCGGCGCTGGTTGATGGTGAGTCATTTGTGGCGTCATGCGACGAAGCAGCTACAATTCCAGAGGTAGTCTGAGAGCGCTGTCGTGGGCGTGGAGATCGCGGCCGAGAATGGGATAGCAGAGGTGATGAAGGAGATGAAGCTTCAGAAGAAGCTGCATGAGGACTGCACGAAGATGAGGGCATGGAAGTTATTGTATGGTATGTCCTAACGGGTAGTCGGTCAACTACTGCTTTCGGTGCACGCCAGCGGCGGCGTCGAATACGAGAGCGAAGCAAAAGCAGAGCGTAAACCACCGTTAGAGTTATTAAAGGGCTGACCACTAAAACGAGAAGTGTGTCGAAAAAGGGACTGGTAGACATGCTCGTTGGGGTCAAGGTTACCCAAAGACCTTCGTGATCCTGGTGCTTGCCGCTCTCTTTCGAAAATTTGTGCATGGGGTCTGTAGTTGCTTTGGCATTTTTGGCACTTTGTCCTTTACTCTTGTCCTCTGGGGAGGTTGATGAGCCATCGCCATGGCTTCTTCCGCTCCAACCAAACATGTTAGACCACCAATGCGAACCTTCATTGGAATTTCCAGGCCGCGAGTTTGTTGCAACTGATGGAGAGTTCGAACCGCCTCCAGTCCCCTTAACGTTGGTTGATTTATCATTGGGAGCATATTCACCGCTGCCCGGAGTTATGCTACCCCCCTTAAGGCCATTACCGCCGTGACCAGGCTTGCTGTCGCCGCGTACAGCATCAGCATCCTTTTTCTTTGAGCCGGTGGTGTTTGGTTTTGAAGTGGACTTGTGCAAGTTGCTATTTTTACCCGCTAATACAAGGTCTGGATCACGCCAATCCTGAACCCCAATGACGAAGTCATCGTTACTCCCCTGGGCGGATTCAGATGATTTGCCCGCTCCGGCTGCTTTCCCCTGGCGATTCTGTGCCGCCTTCTTGGAGTTCGGAAGGGTTTCTTTATCGAATTCATCAAGCATGACCCAGTCAATATTTCCGCTGCTTGGTGGACGACGACTATCTTCCTGGAGATGCCAAGGATATGCGTGGTCATGCCCAAGACCAATGAAAGAGAATAAAGAGTTCAAGAAACCTTTCTTTGGAGAGGACTTGGAGTCTGTGGTAGAGGTGGGTTTCGAGGCAGTGATTGTGGCTGATGGAGATTTGTCGATTTTTGAATTCTTGTCCAACTTATCCCCTGGTGTGACTTTCGAGGGATCTTCTGAGGAGTTGGGCTCGCCTGGAATTTCTGGTGGGATAAGTGAAGAGAGGAGATGGGCCGTGGTATGAGACGTAAATATGGCGGGAATTGTAACATTCGAAGTGTCTCCGCGAGCGTACATGGTCACCAGTCCACCGCCTCTTGTATGATCACCTACAACCAACGCAATGCCACCCCTTCGTTGAACCCATTTAACCTTTTCCAAAAACCCACAACCGCCTCTGCTCAACAAGACAATTTTCCCTCGAATCTCCGCACTCTCTTGCAGAGACTGGATATCAGCATGTTCTAATTTCTTGGTTTTATCCGCGTCTGGGGGAGAAGGGGATCCGGACTCTGGGAGTGGATGATGCAGGTGATCATCCGTTCCATCATCCTTGGATGGACCATCCCCTTTACCACCAAGCCCAGCGTGATTGAAAGGATGTTCATCGACTCGTTTATCGATAACTTTCCCGGCATCGTTGCTACTTGTTTCCGACTTGATTCCTGAAGTAAGCCTTTTGGGTTCCCCATCAGAACCACTCATTTTGTGAGGTTTTTTGTCACTCTCCTCCCAGCCGGGAACATCAGAGCACCCAAGTTCGCCTTCCGCCCCGGTAGTTATTCCTCCCTTCCGTAGGGCATCATCACCAAATCCGCTGCCAATCCACAGTTGGCCACTCAGTCCGGCATTGGGTAAGGCAGGCCCGAACGCTGCAGGTCGAGCCAGGAAAAAGGTCGAATTATCATCTGTTAGACTTATCATCGCAGTAGGCGGAAATAGTGAGGCAGGCGCGTGGAATGAGAAGAGTGCCTTTAGACGCCCGACCCCTGAAACAGAGGATTGAGAATTAGAGGCATGCCGTGGATGTGCTGAAAGGAGTGACAAGGTGGTCAGGAGAATGGGGAGGAAAATAAGGCAAGCCAGCAGCAGGATGAGGCGAGGAGGACGCATGACGATGGATGGTGGGAGGGGGAAGGCTCGAGAAACAGAAGATTCTAAGGACCGATCCACGAGGTCATATGGCAGGCCAACAGCCGCTCATCGACAAAGGTGGCAGCCAGCAAAATTGCAACAAACAGACGTGAAATGCACACACGTACGGACGACAGAATGAAAAAAGACAAAAGGGATAAGAGAAGATAGAAGAAATGAAGTGCAGACTGAGTTTGGGTCATGCCAAGATTAAGGCAGGGTCACCTGACTTCTCAACGTCCGAAATAGAGTTGCCAAGACCATACTTTGGCTGCTCCTGATTGGTTGCTCTCCGCTTAGCGACGTTGAGTTGTTACATTCCATCGGTGCCTAGCTTAGGTACTTTGACAGTGACAATATTTTGGCTTGTGACACAGGTACTGGGAAGAAGTAGTTTGAAGCGGTCTGTTTCCCCCCAACAAACCAAATGCCCTAGATAGGCCTTGAGACCACTGAGCTTCTTGTTTTACAGAAAGCATAACATTTAATTGCGTGGCTATAGGTAGCTCCGGAATCTGATTCCGATATCAGCGGTTCACATTCCAAAGCTAAAAGTGTCAAAATGATGAATCTGAAGGCCCTCATCTCTCGTAAGCTTGGGCGCTTGGTTTAGTGGTATAATATGTCATTCGCATTGACGGGGTCGCCGGTTCGATTCCGGCAGCGTCCAAACCTTTTAAATCTCCTGTGCTTTTTATTTTATTTTATTTTTTGTTTTAATTTTTTTTTTGTTGGACCAACAACATTTGAGCTTTTTTTACACCTTGTTTATTTCTAACGGCAGACTCACCAATTAGCTCCGTGCAGGTGACGGCAGAAGCTCAACTAGCGTTTCAAGAAAGCTCCGAATTGTTAGAAAATACTCTCCGACAACCCCCCATTCAGCTGCATTGCCCCTTTAAAAGCTGACTCTGACAATGGGGAGTTGTGGCACAGAGGGGAGCCGGTGGTTCATCGCATCCCAATGGGAGCATGTCTTTCTTGAAGCTTGCCTTTCAGCTATTTCACTGCCAAGAGTATCAGGACTATTGACTTGAGATGTCATTTAACCATCTCCGCTGTACTACAAATTTTCGATAGCAAGTTGAAAAAAAAAACAATCTGAGTCTCGACTTTTTCTATCATTTATAGACATCGTTTTCATTGAACTAGGTTCCTCATTTCCTACTCGAGAAAACTTTTCAAAACTTGAGGAAAACGCCGAAGCGGAGACACAAAGCCGGAAATTTTATTTTTATTTTTATTTTTATCTTTTTTTGATCCCTTGCATTTCCATCCCCATTCACGCGGAACCTATTGAGACATTGATCTTCAAAGAGGGCTAGACACGGCTAGGAGACAGAACCCTTTGTTCTTCGGAAGGTTTGGTCAGAAGAAATTCGCACCCCCATGTTCAAACTAAGTGTTGTAGCCAAGGGAGGAATGTGTTAGCACAATCTTAAAACGATAACATTCAGATGTAAGTCCATTGCTCCCTGGCCTCCATAGCGATGTGCGGATAGAAGCCCAGCGGCAGATATGGGAGAGGTTTGGCGGACGGTCACTTCCATTTTCTTCGATCTTTGTAGACAGGGGAAGCGGAGTTACGAGGTTCTAGTACAGGCATGGTTAACTTTTCTGCTCACAGACCCTGAGACCAGAATATCATAAAAATGACGTAAAAGAGAACAGACTTGAACATATATTTAATTTTGATATTGATTTTGTTGTTGACCCAAAAACAGGTCTGCGAGACTTATATCCGTTCGGTTAGAAATAGCTTTGGCACCAAGCTGCGGAGATCGTAGTTATGGCAAAAGTTTGAAGTTTTATTGTTGACATAACTAAGTAAATATGACGTCACAACCCGATGTTAACATCCATCAACTGTGAACGATATGGAAAGGGGATCTAGGGATTCAGGGAACTACGTCGAAATGGGTCATTGGGGGACAGTAAAAATCAAGTTTCCCCCCACAAGCACCCTTTCGATTTGCCATCTGCGGGCACTGAAAGCCTGGGCTTCATTTCCATTCGATGGCAGACCACTGCCGTCATCATTACAGCATCTGACTCGCTACATCTCCCGCATCTTGTTCATGGAGTTTCTGACACATTGGCTCCTATTTCGATGGTGTCCAAGATGTAGATTATGATAATTTGCCAAGATGCTTGCATATTTCCCTGAAGTTGGACATTGAGTGTTAAGCGGGAAATCTCAAATATATAAGGCTCCGTCGGGGTCCTGATAAAGTTCTTTTCTCCTGTCTTTATCAAATTATAAAAAATAGAATCAACTGTTATATATTTGATTAAACAACTACTTATTCGAAGCTAAAACTTCCATTGAACCCTACATACCTTTACATCCATTTGAATTGAGTTCACCTATTCCATTAATCATGTCAGGCATCGCACAGAAAGTTAAGGACGTGGTGACGGGGCATAGTCACTCAACAACCCACAACCAATCCTCCACTACCGGTACGGGTCCTCGTTTTTCTTTCCCGTTTCACTGTTATAAAAGGTGCATTGGAGCTGACCCTCCTGGTATAGGCCACGGAAAGCATGGAGCTGCTGGTTCTTCGCACGGTGGTGTGACTGGAACTAACCATGGAACCCATGGAACTGGCGCAGGCACTTCAGGGTTGGGTCAGACGGTCCGACCTGTAGATGCCAGCCAAATGAGCACGGCGGATAATAGGTAAGGCGGCTCAAACCTCAAAAGGAATGTTTTGTAGTTACAGAACAGATTTAACGATATATTTTCTCCAGATATGATACAAAGCTCGGTGGCCACGACCAGGGACACACTTGCCCGCTTGGTAGCGGTGGAATTGGGTCGGGAGGGGCTGGAGCCACCCACACCGCGGGGCCACATAGCACAGATATCGCGAACAAACTCGACCCAAGGTGAGTGGCACAAAGCGACCTTCTCTCTTAAGATCAATTAGCTGATGCATCCTGCAAAGAGTCGACTCCGACCGTGACGGCAGAAGTGCATATGGCACCCATGGAACTGCTGCCGCAGGATCAAATACACATACAGCAGGTCCACATAGCTCGGATGTCGCGAACAAGCTTGACCCGAGGGTTGACTCTGATCGCGATGGCAGAGGAGCATATGGCACCCACGGGATGGCCGGTTCAGGAACAGCAGGGCATACGGCAGGTCCTCACAGCTCAGATATTGCAAACAAGCTAGACCCACGGGTTGATTCTGATCGTGATGGCCGAGGCATTACCGGCACTCATGGTACCTATGGCACGACTGGTACTACTGGCGCCACTGGCACTCACACAGCTAGTCCTCGTAGCTCAGATGTTGCAAACAAGCTTGACCCAAGGTGAGATAGAAAGGAGGCTTGATCTCTTGAGACCAATCTGCTGATTCGCTCCACAAGAGTTGACTCTGATCGCGGTGGTAGAGGAGCCTATGGCACTACCGGCACTCATGGCACTCACGGCACTCATTGCACTACCCATACTCATGGCATTCATGGCATTACTGGATCCCACGGAATGGTCGGTTCAGGACACACAGCTGGCCCTCACAGCTCGAACGTTGCGAACAAAATGGATCCACGGTGAGTTCAAAGGAGAATATCTTTTATGTATAACTATGTGCTAGCAGCAGCTGACAAACATGTCAATCGAAAAAGATTCGACTCTGACATCAACAGAGGCACAAACTTAACAAGTGCAACCGTCGGATCAGGAGCAGCAAGTCACACGGCTGGCCCTCACGACTCGAATATCGCGAATAAACTGGATCCGAGGTAAGTGCAGAGAAGAAGAGAAACTCCCTTCTTGCTCTCTTCACGAACGCCAACAACCTCTAACAAAATTTTTGCAACGAATAAGAGTCGACTCGGATCTCAACGGCAGCCGCACATTTGGCGGCAACGCAACCCACCAGTAAGGTTGAGCCCGCCCAGCCCTGGAGATAACGGATTTCTCATTCTTTCGGCAATTTCTCTTTTTAGCTCCCAAACTGGACTTGACTACAAGGACCCAACGGACGCGGCTCAGGTGCCCCCGAGCGTGATGGCTAAGCACGTTGGACCTCCCCATGTTGCCCATGATGACCATCCACACGATCATGCGCATCGACATGGAACGAAGACCCGTGATTCGCTGAAGGAATATGGATCTGGTGCTGCCTAGGCTATTAATCTTACTATATAGATTCTTAATTTGAATATGCTTTGTTAACTATCAAATCTTTTGCACTCCCAACCAATTTGAACATGGGAGGGTGGGGTGGTATGGCGACCTTGATGATCGGTGTTGTGATAAACTGTCGCTTTATATAGCGTCTTCGTTGGTATAATAATAATATCTCAATCGACTTTCTACAACATGTGCTCATTATGTTGCCTAATTAATCGGCGGGAGTTTGATTCAACCATTCAGTTGCCGTTATTCGTAACTAGCTTCCACGCTGCTTCAAAAGATTCATCCAACGGATCGATCTTTGTAAAGTGGTTACTACAGTACAATACATTTAATACACAGCCATCCTGCTCTGCGGTGTGTTCGCAAGACCTGTAATTCTGTTACGAAAAATACCGTTATCAATCCCCCCTCTATGAACTTTCGGAAAGGTTGAGACGGCGCCTTTTTCGACGAAGCATTCAGGGCTTTGCCCATTAATCTTCCATGCTGCTGCTGAGCCAAACTGAGACCCGACAAGCCAGCAGATCTCCTGGGTATCAATCATATCTCTCTTCTCAACTCTCTGCTCGGGTGTCCCACACAGAAGCCTATATTCTCTGCTTCTTTCTCTTCCTTGTTTCAAATGTGCTTCAAACGCGTTCATAGTACACACGAGTGAATTATCATTATTACTGTTACTATTATTATTTCCCGTATAGAACAGAAGTTATCAAGGGCGGGATATCATCCAACTGCCAGTCCTCAGATAAGCCTTTGCCCTGCTAGAATGCAGGGCATCCCTTTTTCTGGGAGGAAATATTCCTCCTTCTGCTCTCTTGCCTCAGATCTTAGCCGTGGAAGGCATTTCATTACGTCCTCCACATTGGTGCTGCGAATACCTTTTCCTTTTTGTTGGTTTTTGTAATTGTCCAACCCAAGTCTTAGCTGTTTGGGCTTTTTTATCTCAAGCGAAGAATCATTCACTTTGTCTTCGTAACATTACAATCATGATTCTTTATGTCCAAATGAAGCTGGACTTCACTTTCTCGTATACTCCTGGCCTGGAGCCTTCTAGAGAGTGCATGAGCTGGAGCCTGTGCTATAGACAAGCACGGTTTATCAGCAGGCCACTCATAAGAAAACAAGAGCCCAAGAGTTGGTTATATGTGACCTCTTCTTGTCCCGGTATTCTCTGCCAGCAAGCCAAGGGAGACCAAAGCCGATACCATATATACACACCATCCAATGTTTTTCCGCTGTCGAAGCCGTAGAGTCTCTCCTCCAGTTCTCCAGTTTTCTGCGGCGACAGAACCCTGAGTCTTCCTTCCTGCTGCGGCACGTGAGCAGCCCCCCGACCTTCCTCCCTCAGGGGAATGAATGTGCACACAACAGCAGAGGAGCTCTTCACCACCAGATTGCCGCACGGCCGGATCTCTGCGACGTTTTGGTCGTCCCCGCAGCTTTCTGCAGGCGTTGGAGTTGTAATGGAGGCGCTTTATCCCATGAAGACCTATCGGAGTATGTACTTGGCTTCTCCTCCGAACCTAGAATTGGCCTGTCAGCATTCTCCTTCTGTTGTGTTTGGATGAGACTGACAGGTGCAACAACACCTACAGGATCCCGGTCTCGACGAAAGAAGTCCATTACCAAGATCGGGAGCATAGTCACCTGCAAAACAACCGCTGGATCTGTTAAGTCTGAGTCTGAGGTTGACGCTGAGCTTGTGGTCTCTGGCATCTATGTCAACGATAGCAATGGTGATAGTAATAATAGTAGTGAGCCTGTTCAGGGGAGCAGTGGTGCAGAGGTTGGATCTCTTGTTTCATTTACCGCTGTCTCAACAACTATAAGAAACAATGCTACTTCACTCTTGAATGAGGGAACAAAGCAGGCTGGCACAGCAACTATGTCAGTATCAGCACATTCAGTGTTGGTTTGTTCTGCAGAGCAACCCACAAAACAATCTGTTGATGCCAACACCTCTTCCTCTACAACACACACCTCAAAGACTGTCCCTCTCATATCCTCAACTTCTTCTACCGTTAACAAAGCAGGGATTCCAACTATTTGTCTCTCACCTCCTCCTGTCACGAAGACCGACTCCAACATTTGGTTCCGTTCGAGGTCACCTGCTGCAGAGATTGCTGCAGCCAACACAGCGATCTTCCAACAGGCGCGTCAAAACAATTTCAGTTCTGAAAATACATCGCGTGGCTTGCCTTCCGCTCAGACCCATTCTCGGACATCAAAGTCAAGGAAGTCAAGCTCAGAATCTGACGATATTAGCAGCCTTCTTTCCTCGAGACCTGTCTCCTTAGGATCACTCGTTGTTCGAACTCATAACAGAAACAAAGGTTCGAAACCGTGGATACCGTTTAGTGTTGAAGAGCTGGACGAGGCCCCTTCTGAAATGCCTCGACGCCAACACAACAATATCCCAAGGGGACCGGTTGGATATTATCATGCCAGTGCCGTAATGGGCCACCACCCATACCGAAATTCCCCAATGATGCATCCAGCGACAAACTATTACGCCTACTCTCATACTTCGCCCAATCGCGTCCCTTACTGGTCTCGAGGAAGAGGCCAACAGCTGCATCAGGGGCATCAGGGGCCTATGGGCACTCTCGGACACTCTTCACAAAATTATCTTCAGGACTATCAACAGGACTATCAACAACCCTTAAGTGCCAATGTCCCTCACCATGATTCTCGACCTTCAGTGATACCTCCTATCAGAGAACCTCCCATGCTTCCGATGGAATTTGTCACTCCAGAAGCTGGCCCGCGCGTGATGGTGCCTGAGGATATGACACCTACAAAACACGAAGAAAAGCAGTCTTTGAGGGCTCTACAGTACAATATGACAGAGGCAAACGACCTCCAGGCTGGTGATTGCACCCCTAACCCCATGTGTAACCCTTTCAAAGAAGCCCAAAGCAACCCCCAGACGCCCCTTGGATCAGGTAACGGGTACTACCAAGAGATTGCAGGCCCTGGAACTATATATGACCAGGAAAACTATCACATCGATCATAGCTATGTCATGCTGTCACCATCCATGATTAGAGAAAACGGCAACATTCATTACCCTGCGGACGGCCCTGGCCCAACCCAGTACTCCTCCATTGCCGCCATGTATTCTGAAACAGCGATTGTAGGTACGGCGGTAGAAAAGTTTCGAGAGAAAAGGGAGATGATGATTGCTTCGACTTCACAATCATCCCAGTCACCAACTTCTGTTAGGCCACCAGTTTCCCGTCAAATTCCAGGAAATATCACCCCTCCACGCTTGGATTATAGGGGACGACCAGACGCGAATCTATCTGAAATCGCTCGATATCTGGAAAATATGCCAGCGGATTCTCAATATACGCGCACATGGAATCCCGTTCGAAATTCGTATGAGGTCAACGGTAGAGTCGTTAATGATACCTCACCGCTTCCCCCAAAATTCCGACAAATCTCCCAAGTTACCCTCCGCCAAGATGCGGCTCCAACAAAAGGCGAAGCAACACCTCAAGCCCAGCGTACGCCTAATGATGGACAGCAACAAGGAGATTTGGAGGAACTCTTCCTCGCGTCAACCTCCATGCCCTTAATATATACCTCTCCCCATGGTCTGACGAAAGTGAGCTCGGCATTTGCAGTAGCATTTGGAGACGCAGTCGGAAATGATAGACCGTTCACCAAAACAACTACTTCACAACGATCAAGGTTCAACTTCAAGTTCGCCCCTCCGGGGTTACCAATCCCGCCAGGACTACAACAGTTTCCTTGTTACAAAACTCCGTCTGAACGGGAATATCCCGTATCGAGACTCGTCCAGTCCAATATCTGGTTCCACACTGATAAACGCGGAGAAGATATTTTCCGCGAGCGTATTGTTGAGATGGCACGGGAAGAGGCTGAACACCAGGAAGCTGCGAAGATTCCACTTCGTCTTGGTGAACGGCCGGGTATGGCTGAAGCGGGAACTGTTGTCGTTGGAAACGTCCTTGCCAATCTACATGCCTACACTCTGGATGGCTCGAATCAGGAGAAGGGTTTTGCGAACTTTAGGTCTGCACCCGAACACTGCTATGAGCATACGCATGATGGTTCCCGGAGTTTCTTTGATAGCGATCCTCTCACTGGCGTGCAGAGATTGCCCACTCCCTACCACCTTTTGCCGAAGGATTTGCTTTTTGCTAATGAGGAGGCGAGGGGTTAGAGAGGGGGTCAAGAGGAGAATTGGGACTGTCAGGATAACAATGTGTCTAGGAGTCCGAGGAAGGAGAGTTTTAACTTGTCTTTTTTTGGGGGGGGGTAGGGGTTGCTGGTTTGTTTGGCAACTTTTCTTTTCTTTTCTTCTTTTCTTTTCTTTCTTTCTTTCTTTTTTTTTTTTTTAATTGGTAAAAGGACTCTGCTGGTGCTTGGAAAGGTTCTTCCTTTGGCTTTACGTTTGGGAACACATCAGCATAGATAACTATTTCGTATGTTTCTCGAACGGGTCTCCTTGCTGCAAACATGAAACATGTTACTGTTATGGACATACAGAATGGCGCTGTAGGATTATTAAGCAAATGGTAAACCCTAGCTAATAGTTAAAAGGGCTTTTTTGTGTTTTTGCTTTTGATTAAACACGGGTTTTGGCTCTGGTTGGTGCTAGGAAACTGGATGTGATTTTTTCACAGGAGCGGAATTGGATTTGCTAAAGGACTGCTTGTAACTCGATACCTAGTTTAATAGAGTCCCACCACAGTATTCAGTCAAGTGTCCTTTGCTATTTATAATTTTTGGGTTGTCCCTTTTTGACTACTTAGGCGAAAAGAGGAATCGGATTTCTTCTCGTAATCAAACATGGGGATCGTGTTCAGAGATGGGATGGGGAGTGAAAGTAGCGCGGAGGTGTTGTTCACTGGATGAACCAATTCTTACAATTCGCCATCAGAACCTTTGTGCCAGAGTAAAGAAGATGAGATAAGTAGTCGGGGAAAAGGGGGAATGCTGAGATTATTTTCTCAACTGCAAAATGATTTCATCAACACAATCGAGCAGCAGTTTTGGAAAGGAACATGGGGAGAGGCGGGAAATATTCTGACCGGGATTATATTAGCATGTATAGATCTAGTTGAAAGGAGTTACAGGGCAAAGGGCAAAAATAATGATAAACATTGCTTCCACCATTCCTCCATAGCTAGGTGCTTGGGGAAAAGAAAAGAAAAGAAAAGGAGAAGGAAAATTAAAATCACCCTCCAGAATAAGTAAGCATAATGCAAGTTTCGAGTGCGCACGACGGGTAAAGTAAGAACAGCGTCATAGTGTAAAAGAATACAGGATACTGTTTCCAAGTTAAAATATCGTTAAAAAAAATACAAAAAATGATAAGGGGTAAAGTATTACAATTGGTCTTGGGGTACAATATAATTTGCCCTCCCTCGCCTTAATGACATGCCTTCATCAGCAGCTAAAAATAAGGGGTTAATATTTGGAGAAAAATGTCATGTTCAACAGGAGTAATTGTCATCAGTCAACAGAGAAAATTAAATTGATGAAGACGTAGAGTGAAAAAAAAAAAAAGAAAAGAAAAAAGAAAAAAGAAAAAAGAAAGCTGCTAATGAACAAATTCCGCGGTCGTGGAGAGCCAGACCAGACCTGGACTGTTTAACATGATACAAAATTGATATGGTTATCGTTCAGAGCTGCACAGGCAAGGATGGCCCTGTGTGGGTGGAAGGAGGCGCTTACGATCGGTGAGGATCGGTTTGGGTGTAGAAAACTACCATGAGGCTCGTAGGTGGAGAGATAAGTGCCATCGGTATTGAAAGTTTTAACCTCATGGCGATTGGTGCCACTAGTGAGCAACAAATGTCAGAGTGTGTTACTGAAAACGAAGGACATGTATCGTGTTGCACAACTTAGAAGAGCAGCTTAAGAAACTTACATCGCGAATACTGGAGCGTGTTCGTGCACAGACAACGTCCGCAAGGTGTCTTTGGTGGCGCGGATGGTACCTATCGATGAATCCATGCGCAAATCCCACAGTCGAACCTCACCATTTCGGCTACCAGATATCAATTCTCGGACTCCGCCACGCTGGATATGGGTGTTTGTGATCCACTGTTTATGCTCTCGCCACACTTTTACCATCGCTGTTGTCGGTTTTAAGCGTTGATCAAATACTCTAACGGCACCATCACCAAATCCAGCGACGAAAATATGTCCCGCGACTTGATCTGATGTTAAAGAGGTTATGCAGGAACCCGAACGAGCAGATATGTCCTTGAGGCAAGTTAGAGCTTTGCTACAGACAATAAATCTGCACCGCGGGAATAGAACCTACGTTGGTGAAAATTTCGGTGGCCGCGTTCCAGACGCGAATAACCTTAATATCGCCAGCAATGAGCGCCTTCCCTTGGCCCTGCTGCCAGTCCAAAACCAGTCCCGCATTTCTGTTGCTGGGGACCAAATCGGGCAGAGCACGGAAGGCTGTTACAATCTCAACATCCGATTCCGATTCGTACTTGCGGAATAGTTTCAAAACACCATCTGAGGAGCCTGTCATCAGAAGCGCTTGGTCGTCTTCGTTGATGAATCGAATTTCGTTAATTTTCGATCCTATTGGGTTGCCATTAGAAAAACGGCTGAGACGCGAATGACTTTGCCAATCCCAGATACTGGTTTCGTGTTAGTAAAATTCGGGACGTTTGCCATGATTATTAGCGGGGCTTACCAAACAGTATCTCTATCATCAGCTACCGCGACGTAGTCCTCAAACTGATGAAAACACATCTTGACCGGTTGAGTCTGATTGTTTAGAAGTGAGGTAGAAATATCCCACTTGCTAGTTCCTGCTTTCTCTTTGAGCGGCTGAGTTTCAGCTATGATTTTCTCATTTCTGCCGCGTCGCCAGAGGCGTTCGTTGTAATCTGCGCTGCCAGGTTCATCTGATTCATTCGGTTTCATTTGCGGCTCGCGAAAGTACTATTATCCGTAGTGTGTAAGAAAATAGAGGTGCGCGACTAACCAACAGAACAATAGAGAAAATTATTGATGGAAAATGGGCATAACTTACTTCAGTTGACCAGTCCAAAAAATCGCTTTTCAAAGGAATGACAGGGCTAGCTTTGACATCTCTTGGCCGAAAGCCACGAGAGAGCGGGATACGTGCTTTACGGTACGATCCCGATGTCACTGGCTGATCATTCACTTCAGGCGGTCGAGTCCACTCAGCAGGTGCCCGACCCCGTGGTGTAATGGGAACGCGGCTTGTCATCGCAAGGGGTTTCATTGGCGATGCAGGTCGACCAGTGGTACTTGATAAGCCCAAGGCAAGATTTTTCCAGGACGCAGCTACGCTGGCTGTTTTTCTCAAGCCCAGTGACAAGTATCCCTCAGATTTTGATGCCGTGTTAGACGGAGCCTGTGGTGTCCTCTGCCCCGTTCCATTCAAATCATCCAGTTCCACGTGTCTAAGTTTACCGACTTGAACTCGACCGTGTAGCTTAAGGATATCGTCTTTGGCTGCCTGAGCTAATCCTCTCATTGGAGACTCCAATAGAGATTTGTGAATATAATCAACAATGGTGTCTCCATCTTGAGCGACCTCCGGATGTGGGTCGACAGAAAGCATGAGAACAAGTTTCCATATTGACCCAAACACAGTGTCATGAGATACTCTGCTCTCATACTGGAATGGAGCCGGCTGATCATTTTTGTTAGCGGGCGTTTGATGTGAAAGAAAATGTCGTTCTTCAAGCATCTGTTCATATGCAACGACGAGGAACTTGTTTTGGTATCTCTTCACGAAGGTCGACAGGAAAACCAATAGTTCTTTCCTTACTAGGACACTGCCATCGGAACCCATGGGCATGACAGTGAGAGCAATAGATTCTTCGATCTGAGCGACCTGGTCGGTCAAATCGGGGATACCAATGAAACTGGTCAACGCATACAGCATCGCTGCGCGTACTTCTGGAACGGGGTCTAAGGCGAGTTCGCAGAGCCTCGGAGGTGCAGAGCACCGAATACCAACCCATTTCGCCTCAGGGAAGTCGAGCCAGAGCATACTTAAGCAGAGGCAAGACCATTGGCGCAGAAGAGGGTTTTCAGCATCCATCAAGTGAGTTAGACAAGCTTCAAAGAGCTCGGGAGCAAGGCAAACGTTTTGGCCTTGAGGGTAGTTTTTGCAGAATATCGCAACGATGAATGCACACATGGCACGATGTTCACTTGCGTTCTCTATAGGGATAGGCGAAGCGGGATTTAAGATTGTAATGAAATAGTGAATACCATTATCCTTTAGCAGGTCATTCTGCACAGTATGGTCGACGGCCATTATCCTAGCCCAGATAAAAACCATGACAGGCTTAAGTTCTTGGGCAGTGCTCTGTAGAAGTTTGACAACATACGGGAATATACCAATGCTCAGAGCCAAATGAACAGCCCACGGCCCCAAGTCCAAAAACTTGCTGAGTTGGATTAATGCGCGTAAGCGATGAGCCTGGCTCAACAAGACTTGCAATACAATTGGAAGTTGGTCTGGTGGGTTCTTCTCTGTTGGTCCTGATGCAAGGTAAACTTCAAACGCAGTAAGTTGCTCGGCAAAGAATGACGAATGTTGGTATTCATAGTGACGCTTGCCTTCCTCATGCTCAATGAGTGCCGGGAGTTGAGCAAGGACCATCTCAATGGCAAGATCCCAGCTTTGCCATAATGGATGGTTGTGAGTTTCGGGTAGTTTGGGAGATGATACTGGGTGGCATTCATGGGCTCTCATGATCCGTTCAGCCAGGAGGAAATTCCTAAATAAAGCCGCAACCATGAGGTCCTGTCGAAACAGTTTCTTGAATAACGGTCTGGGCAGGGTATTCCAGGCGATCGTATCCGTGATCGCAGTGAATATCCAATTTAATTCACCGAGAGGACTCCTTCGATCTTGGAGGCGGCCCGGCACCCTGAACTCATCGATGGATATGTTGGTGTGCAGAGGGTTCTGCAACACAAAGAACCTCAATGCTATTTCGATTGGGGTCGTTAAGCAGCATGTGAAAAGGTCTGCGGGGAGATCCGGATTGGTTGGGAGTGTTTCTGTTCTCTCACAGGCGGCGAGTAAAATACAATCGCCGTAGTTTTGGATCGCGGCATTTGGATCCCTCTTGCGAATTTCGATGTTCTCCTTCTCATGCTTTTCCACAAATGTTGAGAAGTTGTGGACAATGTTACCAGCATGGGACACATCAAACACAAACAAGCTTGGCCCAGCAAGCCAAGTCTGAAGATCGTATAAGGATATCGGGGATATACTGGGTATAATTCTTATTAAACACCCAAAGTTCTCCCGACTGAGTTGGGAGGGGGACACCATGTCCGTTGTAGTGAAAGAGCACCCGCTCGTCTTTTGCGTTACGGCGAAGAGAGATACAGAATTTCTTCGTCTCCTCGACGGCAGGGTCCAGGTATTGCTTGTAACGCGTACGAAGACTGAGGGTTTCATACTGTTCTTGTAGTTTCTTTCCAATTTGCTCCATCACCTTGTTCTGCGCGCCGGTAGTAGAAGACGTTGGGTCCACCCAACATTCCAGTTTCGCGGTCGGATTCGTCTTCACGATATCCGGGGGGTCCACACCAATATTTAGGCAGATAGCCAGCGCGGCAGAAACAGTTTTCAGCCGATCTCTCATGCGCCAGTCCTGGCTAGGCCAGCTCCCGGCTGGGTCTTTCGGTCTCCCACCGGTTTCATGGCGCTTCTCCGTGAAATACATGAAGAACGTCTAAGACGCATAAAATTAGAAGCCGACCCAATCGCCTAAGATTCTATATCTGTGGAAAATGGCATTACTCACGGAAGTGAGGCTCTTCAAGTAGTCTCCAGAAGTGTAATCTTCATGCCAGCCGTGTCTTAACTGGAAATCCTCATCCCCGTCATGGGCTGCTCCGTTCTCAACTCCAGGCGATGTGTAGTGTTCGCTCTTTGCCCGAACAAGAAGAGGTGGTGTAGGGCGTATCTTTCTAGGTGCCCGGAGTGAGGGAGACACTGGGTTCCGCCCGGACACAGCTCCACCGTCGCCACCAGAAGGTGCCTGCGCCCCATTCGATGCGCAATCTGAGCGTCCATTGCTCTGGAGCTGATCGCCGTCGCTCTTTTGGGGTCGCTGGCGGCCGGATTCAAAAGCAGAAAGGGGGGTTGAAGTACTGTTTGAGGAAGGTATATACTCGTCGACCTGTGGTCCGAAAGTGATCCGGACTGATTTGCCCGGACCACGCTGGGAGCCACCAGCACCGTGCGCCATGTTGGGATATCGCTGGGCTTGCGCGGTTCGATCCAGGTTAAAGTTGGGGTCAATCATTATGGTGAGTATGGCGATATTTGGGAGCCATTCATGGCGTTAGAGCAGGAGGATAGCAACAAGCTTGTGTGCGAAAGTTCAACGGACCATTAAACTGACATAGAAGACGTCAGAAGCTACATTTACTTTTAACAGCGGTAGCGACCAGGGTCTGCAATCAATAACAACGGGTGCAAGTGAACGGGACCATGACTTACGAAGCGGGAGCATAGAACCACCAACAGCCACAGCCAACCACCACCATGGAGGCTGGAGAGGAGACTAAAGAAAACTGACAAGGATCAAGAGCCAGCGGGAGGCGACACATCCTCCACTTCCTAACGCGAGTGAGTGGAGATCAGATCTGCCTGTGCAGCCTCAGTGTCAGTGTTCCGAGAGAGGCCAACAACTTATTCTCCATCCATCTGTACAGACTGTCTGTCTGTCCATCCCGGCCTTGGGGTCGTTCAGTTTCGCGGGTTGGGGTTGGTCGGAATAGCCTTGGCTACAAGCTCCGCGGCGGATTAACAATAACCCGCCGCTAGACAGCATGCAGCTCTACAGAAGGGAACTTAATTATAGTAAGGGGTTTTGAGAGATAAGAATATGTATTTGTATTGTTATTTAATGGCTGTCATTGAATGATCTCAGTACAAACAAACTATTTTACCCTTGCTTCCCGCCAGATGACCACATTTTTCATACAAATTTGAAACCCTCCTCAACTCTGATATTTTATCTCACTCGATTCCTTATCGTTTGATTTATTCCTTGTAGATATATATAATCTAACTCTATTTTATATGGTACACAAGACATTTTATATGATGAAATGTGATGCATTTACAAATTACTATGTATATAGGAACTTAATAGTTCGGATTGTCGAGTTAAACACTGAATCAAACGATTGTCAATTTTGTGGATTAAAAAGATGAGTTGATGAATGCAGAGTTTGTTTAACTATCTATCTGTGAATGGCAAACAGTTCAGCAAAAAGAAACTCTCATAAAGTCCATATTTAGCACATCCAAGTCTATATAGAAAGAAGACATTCTAGTGTGTAGTTTGCAGTGCTTTCCAGGTGGGAGGGAGGTTGCTGTGGGTCTCGTAAAATTGTTGTTATTCAACCCTTCCTCAAAATCCCTACTAGGTTGAACTTGGCTCCTCTTCTCTCCTCTCCACTTCCACTTCCCCCTCCCCCTCCCCCTCCCCCTCCCCCTCCTCCCTCACGACTCTCTCGACAACGCCGATGACCCCTCTCCGAAGCTTTCCCGCCAAAGCTTCCAGAAAGGCCATTCACTTCTCTGCTTCTGGCCGTCTTCTTCGACTCAGACATCACCAGTCCCTCGTTTCCCACCATATCATCCGACCTGCATCTACCGGCTCAACCGCTGTTGCTGCTCGATCGAAAACCCCTACACTAGAAATCGAGACACGTTCATCAATCATGGACGTAAAGGCTAAGCAGCAGTATCTTGCTGATTCTCCACCCACCGTCGTCAGGCTAGAGATCAAGCCTCATTTCGACGTGCTGGACGAGAAGCAGAAACGTTATGCCCATTTCATTAGCAGGTTGGTTTTTCGTGTGCCTGCTAGCAGCTCTGCTCAATCGACGTGTTTCTGCTTGGAGACTTGCCCTAATCATAAATACATCTTTCTTCTGTTCTGGTTGTTTTATACAAAGGCTCAGATGCCTCCCAAGAGTCAGAGCTGACCGAGCTACAGAGCAGCCTTCCAAGGAACTCGAATAACCCTGCGCCAGGTTTCCCCGGAATCCGAACCTATCTACGATCTGATCATCTCTCTTTACCGTGCTTGTAACGGCGATTGGAACTCCCTCGCTCAGAAGACCGGCGTGAGCGCGGAAAACCTACGCTTCTTTTTGGAATATGCAGCACAGTTTTTAGGCAACTGCGGGTCATATAAGGGATTTGGGGATTCCAAGTTCGTTCCCAGAATTTCAGCTGCCGATCTGGAAACCCTCGCTTCGGCTACCGCAGAAACAAAGGCAGCATGGGAGAAAGCCAGAAAATCTGGTGGAGGCATATATGAGACCTCCACTCCCGAGTTGATGCATCTAGGATATCCAGAGAAGGGACACATGTCGACATATTACCCAGACTCGCCCACGATTACAACTGAGGAGATCTCCTTGATAGCTTCCTTTTTGGAGAAGAAAAAGCTATTGCCGGAGAACACGAGGCTGCAGAAGACCGATGCCGGAAACTTTGAGCTACTGATAGCTTCGGCGGACAAATCACCAGCGGCCAGTGATCGCGATGTCGGGGAAGTCGATAAGTGGGAGCTCGATGGGAAACTGAAGGGTAAAACGCTCCGGCTAGTCTTTGGCGACTATTCCGAGGAGATGGCGAAAATTGCGCAAAGCATCAAGCAGGCAGAGGTGGACGCTGCAAATGACGTCCAGAAAAGGATGCACGCGCAATACGAGAAGTCCTTCAAGACGGGGTCTCTGGAGGCTTACAAGGAAAGCCAGAGGGAGTGGATCAAAGATGTGGGACCTGTAGTCGAGTCGAATCTTGGGTTTGTGGAAACCTATAGAGATCCTCACGGCATTCGCGGAGAATGGGAGGGGTTTGCTGCTATTGTATGCTGGGTTTTTAAACTCGCACGCTCCCCGCCCATACCTGTAGGTGCAGCGTTGCTAACATCCTACCCCAGGTCAACCAAGAGCGGACCAAGGCGTTTGGAAAGCTTGTTGCCAGTGCAGAGTCAATGATTCCCAAGCTTCCTTGGAGCAAGGACTTTGAAAAGGACCGTTTCCTCTCGCCGGATTTTACTTCGCTCGAGGTCCTCTCATTCGCGGGGAGCGGAATACCTGCTGGCATCAACATTCCAAACTACGACGATATTAGAATGAACCTAGGATATAAAAATGTGTCCCTGGGCAACGTTTTGAGGTATCTTTATCCTGGCTTTCTGACGTTCTCTTTCTCGTGTAATGTATTGACTTTCTATTTTAGTGCCAAAGCGCCCAATGAACCGGTGCCATTTATCAGGGAGCAAGATCTTCAAGTATTCCGGGACTATCGAGACTCCGCGTTCGAGGTCCAGGTGAGTGTTATCCCCTTCCGATTTCGGTTACAGCAGTATTTTCTCTCTATCCACCAATAAACTCTCTAACAGCAAACAGGTCGGCATCCATGAACTTCTGGGTCACGGAACTGGGAAATTGCTCCAAGAAACGGCCCCTGGGCAATATAACTTTGATATCTCTCACCCACCAATCAGTCCTGTAACCAAAAGGCCCATAACTTCCTGGTACAAACCGGGCCAGACCTGGAGTTCAGTCTTTGGTTCCATCGCATCATCATACGAAGAGTGTCGCGCGGAATGCGTCGCCATGGCTCTTGGCTGCGACTTTAAAATACTTGAGCTGTTCGGGTTTGGCAATGGGAAAGAAGATTTAGACGGCGAGGCTGGCAATGTGTTGTACGCCAGCTACTTACAGATGGCTAGAGCTGGTGTCATGGCACTTGAATTCTGGGATCCCAAGAGCTCTAAGTGGGGACAAGCCCACATGCAAGCGCGATACAGCATTATGCGAACATTCCTTGGTGCTGGTGGGGATTTCGTGAAATTGGTGCATAGCAAGGATGACCTTTCGGATCTCGAGATTCACCTTGACCGGTCTAAGATCCTCAGCCACGGCCGTCCGGCGGTGGAGAAGTATCTGCAAAAGCTCCATATTTACAAATCTACAGCGGACTTCGAGGCTGGAAAAATGCTGTACGACGATATTACGCATGTTGATGAGTGGTGGGGATCACGAGTCCGACCGGTTGTTCTTCAGAAAAAAATCCCTCGGAAAGTGTTTGTGCAAGCCAATACGGTTCTAGAGGGTGATAAGGTGGTGCTAAAGGAGTACGAGCCAACATTGGAGGGGATGATTCAAAGTTATGCTGAGCGAGATATCTAGAGGAAAAGGTAATGCCCGAAGAAGTGGCCGGAGTAGCCGACGCCCCTTTCTTCGCCATTTGAGCCCATTGTTATTCAGTTTTAAATGTCCATATTCATGCAGCATGCACTGTTGCCCGTGAGAGCATGGGCAGCATGGCCCTATAATAACCGACTTGTGTGCGTGAAGCAAAGCGGAGGTTCTCAGGAGTCAGTGATTCCCCGCGAGAAAAGAAAAAAGAAAGAGCACATCCACAAGCCAGTATTATTATAGTCCCTCAGCAAAGAATCAGAATACTCAATTTTGCGAAAAGAACTATCATAGCCTCTTGGGAAGAGGGTTATTGACGAGGATGAAACATGCCCTTTAAATGAAAATTTTTATTGTCTGGTAAACAGCGTGCTCTGGTTGGCCAATGATCAATGCCTAGAGGCTCAATAAAGAAGTTTCCATTGATTCATTCTACCACACCACGGAGGAGGGGGGGCTCATTTCACAAGGGCGGCTAGAGAGAATGCCCCCCTCTTCTTCTCTCCTCTCCTCTCCCCTCCCCTCCCCTCCCCTCCCCTCCCCTCCCATACTGTATACATGACGTTGCGTGCCCTCCCTCGGGCCAGGCTAGGGGGTTTAATCTTTTCTCTCATCTGGCTGCCCATTGACCAACCGCCCGATGTTCCTCCTATTGTTCAGTCGGGGATGCTCTGGCCCGATCAAGTCAAGCGTGGTCACATGACCACCAGACCCTTCCTCCTTTAGTTCCCTATTGACGTCCGCCTCAAACAATAGGAAAAAAAACTCAACCTGCTCAATAGATCAGGGAATAACTGGGCAGAGGGGCAGAGGGGCAGAGGGGCAGAGGTTGGCTGGCACGGTCTCGGCTAATCCCAGCACCTCATCTGACTTCTTCTCTTCTTCTGTTCCGTTCGATGATCACACCGACGCTGGGGTTACATCCAAGCCCCAGACCCCAGAAACCATCACCAACACCCCTGTGGTCCAGGGATGCGCGGGTTTCGCTCGAGCTCAATGCTCTCTATTCAGTCTGTTCTCCAATCAACAGCCCCCCTATCCGTGGTTTTTCTCAAAATACAGTCTTGATAATGTGGCGCCGGCTCTCTTCCGTCCTTGGGATCCGGTGGTAAGGAAACATCCCGGTGGCTGTAGTTAAGCATTGCGAAAGGATGTTGTCTACCCCGAACACGCCATGCTTTCTCTCTCCACCGGTAATGGATCCAGCGATAGCCCGAAAGGGACAATAATAGATACCATAATGCTTGCCCCATTTATGTCCAGAGTCGGCATTGGCAAGTTGTTTATTATTATTGTTGCTGTTGTTGTTGTTGTTGTTGTTGCTGGTGCTGGCGCTGGCGCTGGCGCTGGTGGGGTGTTTCTTGATATCTCTTTTATGATGATGTTTATTCTCATGAGCAAATAGCAAGTGCTGATAGCAAGTGCTGATGGTTATTGAATATGGCTGCTCCACCTTTTCTTCCTAGCAACTTTTATTACTTTATTGATGCATTATAAGGATTTTTGCTTATCCATCCAGCTATCTCTATTAGTATTATTATTCTGCTCTCAGGGTTCCCCTTCATCGTCACGCCCTCCCTCCTCTTATTGTTGTTTCAGCATAGTGAGGCACTTTAGATTTTAATGCGGCCTTTTTTTCTTTTCTTTTTGCGTGGCTGAGCATTTTGCTTCCTTTCACTCCTGTGGAGTACTATTCTCTCATATGGTGTCTAAAGCGGACAGGCCCACTCTCTCTATTGCTTGATTGTTGACCGCATACAGCCGCATCTGTTCGCCCTCCCACCGCCATCTTCATTATTTGGGTCATATATAGGGCTGTGCTGTCATATCAGCAGCTACCCGTATCCCAACTTATTCTTGACCCGCATCTTTCAGTCCAGATTTGAGTATACAATTATCATATTCGCCCAACAAAAGTGAAAATCACAACCTTGACTGTTTCGCAACTGCAATATTTTCTTATCTATATACATACAACACTCGACTCAAACCCATAAAAACCTCACTCCATATATTCATTTCTTCGTTGATACCCTACACCTTCCATACCTCAAAGCCAGAAAACCTCTGTTGGCTTTCTTTTATACATACTCTACTCCAAGCAACAAGATGCTCCCTCCTTCAGACTCCGTCAACCACCAAAGCCTGAAACTGGCTGAGTTTGTCGCCAGTCTCCGCTCTCAGAACAGACTTGCTTCTGTGCCACCACCGCCATATACAGTTTCAACCGTCCCTACTCTAACGGACGATTCACTTGCTGACATAGTTGACGATGAAGATGAAGAAGAGACGCCATCCATGGCCCCCATTATCATCAAAATCGATACATCGATAGATATTGAGGGGCAGGGAAATACCATCGTCATTCCCACCTCCATAGGCAGATCAACAGCGGAGCAAGCTCCCTCTATCATTTTTCCATCCTCGTCACAAACTAGCGAAAAATCTCTCCTACAGCAACTTCAAAAACAGCGACAGTTTAAATCGGCGCAGCTGGCTTCGACTATCATCTCTGCGCTGAAAGCGTCGGGTGTTCTAGACGACAGGGAGACGGGTAAACAGCAACCCGTGGAAGTCAATGTCAGCTCTGGCATACGCATTAGAGGTGATAGAAATGTTGTATGCGCTGGTGTTCCGAAGAAGGAGGAGTTGACTCCTGCTGAGAGTGAGGATGCTTCCCCTGAGAAAGGACCATCGTCATTGTCGTCGGAGTGGAAGAGGAAAAGGAGTGCTAGCTCGGTATGTGTATTTTTATTTCCTATTTTTTGTTAATTATCATTTTCTTTTCTGTATATAACCTATTAACAATCATTCTTAGCAACCTGTCGACATGCCTTGTGCAAAAAGAAACCTCAGCTTTAAATGAGAACGACTTCTAGCCCGAGAAGTCTCAATCCTGTGCATTTTACATCAACTGCATCAATGTCATTCTTCCAAACCATATCGACAACAGGGTGGAAACTGCATTTTTCTTGCCCTGCGTCTCGCCCAGAGGAATTTTCGTCTAGTCCAAAATACGAGTACGTCTCCATAATCGAGGTTCTCTCCCAGCTCGCTTCCGTGAGAAGCATCAAATCATCAACCTACCTCGACATGGCTTTTCAGATTCCCGCAAGCGGCCTGAAACATTCACCAGGAAGTCTTTCAACCCAGCACCTTTGCTCCCAAAGAAAGCATGCACAGCGCCGTTTTCAACAGCTCCCATTATCCAGATTATTCTATGCAGCCAAGCATTACCTCTCGTCGTCATTGGCTTTCACCGCCTTTGCAAGCTTCACATCACACAGATCCGGAAAACATAGCTGTTGTACAAAGCACGTGCACCACGCATGCATGTATCCGTGCATACCCTCTTTGCATTTATTATGACACACCGTTGCTCCTTGAGTGCTTTGGTAAGAGAAAATTACTTTTGCCGTTTAGTAATGTTCGCAAGCATACATTAAGTACACATGGAAGGTGGGAAATACCGGAGGCAAACCCCGGGGGGGGAATCTAAAATCCATGTCTGGGAAAGGGGGTCGGGTTGTATGGTTGGAACCAAGTAATAATAAACCGGTAAAGAAAGGATTCGTTGTACGGATGAATAATGAATTCCTTCTCTTTTCGATATGTAAATAAAAGACGGGATTATATGTCCCCATGGCACTTAATGTATAGAGACATAATTCACAAATGGATGATGTGTAAAATTATTCCTGTTTCTGGTGTTAACGTATTGATTGTATTAGAGGTATGGGGAAGAATGAATATACTCACCCCCCCAGCTCGGAGTTGCCGGCGGCGCCTACAAACATACACATAAATAGCCACAAAAGAACAAGTTCCGACCTCTGGATTCAAATGCAAAAAAATTAAAAAAAAAAAAAAAAAAACCCCAAGCAAAATCACGATCTAATCTTTGATTAAGAACGTGCGGCAGTAGATGAAATCCACACTGCATCATAAAGATTAATACATTGCGCGCTCACTCGTATCTCCTCCCTCCATGTGTACAGAGTACGCACGAGAGATGTTGCCTGCTAAACAATAACAATTAAAAGGGGTACAGTGCATTGATTGTATATAAGGTACATACATATAATGATACATTTCACACACGAGCAGAAGAGAACAAGCCGAATAGGGGAAATAAGGGGGAATAAAAAAAAAAAAAAAAAAAAGAAAAAGTTGGGGAAGAAACCAAAAAACCCCCCTGTTGAGTCTGAAAGTTCGTCGCAATAAAAATCAAAAAAGAAAAAAAAAAAAAAAGAACTTTCATCACTGTGCGAGATGGAGCAGAATAAGTAGTACGCAAAAATTAGTTACCCAACACGCCGTCATCATACTAGGCATTTTGTTTGTTCGCCTCGAATGCGAGAGTCATAAAAAAGAAGCAGGCAAAACAATTCAATTTTAAATTTTATCTTTGGCTTTACGTTGTTATCAAAATTAAAAATCAACGCCCAACAGGCACATCATGGCGATGAAGCCCCTTTGACCAAACTGGTAGCCGCTTATCACGCTCATAGAGCAAGCCGCAGTTGTGGCATAGAGTCTGCAATACACAGATATAGTTCATCTCGTTAGTATTCATTCTTAAACACACATCTGGGACTATAGTTTGGGGGAGTGGAGTGGAGTGGAAGCGTTTGCTCACCCTTGGGCCAGCTGGCCCGTCTCTAACAGCCCAAACCGCCGTACCCCAGACAGCACAATGGGAACAGCGCCATGTTTGTCTCTCCCTATTCAATATGTTAGCTTCACACACATCCATTATCATCGTAAAGGAAACAACAAACCAGTCGCTAAGTGTGCCTCCACCCCCGCCATACCCAGCACCAGCCCCCGTATCCGGTGTGCCCCTCCCCGGAGTTCCACTCCTCCCACCCAGCGGACTAAGACTCCGGAACCGGCGCTTCTTCTTCGTCCTCTCCCCCCTCCCCATCGGCTCACTGCCATCTGGAATATCAAAATATCCGACCCCGCCACCACCGCCACCACCACCACCACCACCAGACGAACTCAGCTGCCTCGACAACTCCGGCGCAATGCCACTCGTCGACGAAAACCTCGCCGTCTCCCGCCGTAGTCGACGAAGCTGCCGCTCCCTATCACCCTCACGCTTCTCAATTTCTTCCTTGGATAGCGTCTCAACCTTGGGTTCCCATTCATCCCCCAGACCGTCTGGGTCATACCGCCACCCGGCCTCCTGTCCATTTGCAGCCTGGTTGTCGATTTCATTTCCATACCCGCCAAGCCCACTGATTAAGCCGCCACTTTCACACACCTCCTTCTTCAGTTTGAGGACAGCTTCGTAGATCCCATGTGCGATAGCGCAGACCCATTCGGGACCCAGGCCAAGATCTGCACAGGTCACACGCGCGAAATCCTCGGCCAGCCCCCTGTGGGTGTAGCAAGGACCATTCAAATTTGTCTGTGTAGAGTCTGTTTTGGAGATTGATGTTCAGATTGACAATGCAGCGGTATGCGTCGTCGGGGTTTAGCTCGTTGTCGCTCAATGAGGGTTGTTGTGATGATGATACCACCACGCTTCCTTTGCCGGTGGGTGTGTCGACGAGGGTTGCTGGTGTCGCTGCGCTCGTGGCACCGGGTGTGGCGGAGGCGTCTCTGGAAAGGGATGCGTGGGGATTACCCATAATGGCCTGTTGCTGTTGCTGGTGCAGGCTTTGAAATAGAGGGTGGAGCGCGACACCTGCGTACTCTTCCAGCTGTTGCCGGAGTTGGTTGGATATAGCCATGGCCATTGCTTGCGGATTCGGTAGATCCAGGTCGCGAACCATGGTCAGAGCGAACTCCTCGGGAGTCGTTAGTGCTTCGTGTAAATTCCAGAGAAAGCTATCCTTGATTCGATAGGGAGGTGCTGGGTCGGGTTTCCGGTATGCCTGGGAGGCAGGGTTGAGTCCGAGTTCTTGGTAGTTTCGCGGTAAAGGGAATGGTTCTGCGGGTTGGAACGCGGGCACTTCAAGGTCGATACGGATAGGTACTAATGTCAAGGGTAATTGTACCTGGACGCCCAAATGTTGCTTCTTCCTAAACAGAAACCAACGAATCCCTAGTAAGTTTTTATACCATATCAAACCTCCAGTATGTCTCTTGTGAGGTCTCAAAGGGTAAACACATACGACGGCTTCGATACTCTCTTAACCACCCAATCCCTAAAATTCGGCTGGACATTAACAGGATGTGAAATTTCCGTCCCTATCTTCTCCCCCGCTGGTCCTCTATCTGGCTGGCTTTCTTCCCTCCTCAAACTCCTCAGCCCCGTCGGTCGTCGAGGTCCCTCACTGTCCTCGAAGTCGTCATCATCATACCCATCCTCTGCATAGTTTACCGCAATGGTGCCGCGTTTCGTCGTCCGCACACCGGGGGTACTCTGTGTTGGGGGGATGTTCGGGATGAGGAGCGCGTTTGCGTATTGGCGGAGGCGAGGAGAGTAGGAGGTCATATACCCGTAGACCGGGGCCATTTTTGTCGTATGTTGGGGGTCAGGGACAGTATCTATCTCTCTACCGCGCCTTCACTCATTTGGTGAAGCTCAGATATGAAGAAGAATGAATGTACGTATGCAGTGTGAATAAAGCCCCAAGCGGATGGACGAGGACACACACACACACACACTTACACACACACACACATACACACACACACCCCACCACACACTATTGTTCTTAATTGATCCTGTGAACAGGACTCAAAACCGGAAACGAAGAACTAGGAGCCCCAGATGAAACAAATGATTATCGGGAGGAACTGTTTAAAAAGAAGAATTGACTAAATCCCAGAATTGTTGGGGCTGATTCCAAGATTGTAGCAACAGACCGCTTCTATCAGGCGCAACTACGCTAATTCCCTATTTAGTTTAGCGCAGCCGCAGAGCCTCATCTCTAGGCGCCACGGCAAGCGCAACTGGGGAGATTTGCGTCTACCGTTTTAGGAGATCCTTTGCTTCATATACGGAGGAAGAGCATCCTACATATATGTTATACGGTCATACATGGAATACATCTATATCTACCTATGTAGGCGGACGAACTCAGCGTACTTAAATCAAATAAATCGAAACTATCTTTGACTTGCCTGGTAACCAACTCTTGGAGGAAAGCTGTAGATTAATAGCTCTACCACTACTACTGAACATTAAATTGAGCTGTGCAAGGTATCTAGAATAAAAGATAAACCAATTTCTCCCGTATTAACATGATATGGCGTTTTTGCAGTGGCAATAATATATCTCTTTTTGTCTTTGTTTTCTGAACTATCGGGGGAACAAAACCTGCTTATAACCGCATTTGAAAGGGGTAATAAAATAAGATCGAGACTAAACTTTCAACAACATAAGCCTAAGTGCCTAGTAGTCAAAAAGAAAATGAACGAGGAAAAAAACAAGTTCCGGGGATGATGAGAGATACACACGTTGTCGCAAACAGGTAGACATACGCTGTGAGAAATGAAAATTAAAAAGCAAAGAATTAATAAGAAGTCAGGGCATTCGTGGTATAATTACAAAAGTAGGCATGCCAGTGGCAGAACATAGGAAAATATGCTTCACACGCACGTAGTTAGCTTCAGCTTGAGAGGTTTCTTGGGAGGATAAAAGTATATATTATTTTATTCAGCGTAGCCCAATGACACTCTAGATAGGTACGTTAGTTCAGCGACACGACATTTCATGACCCCAAGCAAATAGAGACAGGGGCTATTGGTAACATAGAGGGCACACTCACCATTTCAAGAGTCCATACCCGGCGAATCCAGACTTTGAGCTTCCCCTCGACTCCTTCGACGCCCTCGAGCTCGACACCCTCCCACCAGCACCGTCGAGCCGGTTTTCTCCAGAATAGAAGCAGCTTCTGCGCCATGCCGACCACATTATTGCCGGACAGGTCACCTCGCATGTCCGTTCGAAGCTTAGCCAGCGCCAAACTGCAGATCACGGCCTTGTTGGGCTCCCCGGCGCGATGGCCCCATCGATCGTCGTGATTGAAACCGCTGTCATATCGTTAGCAATTGATAAATGTATGGGTGTAGATAAATAATATGGAAATGTAAATTAAAAGCCTACCCAGCGGTTAACATCTCGATAAGGTGCTGTTCAGTCGATCCGGGCTCGTCGCTTTTTCGTAGGCCTGAGAAGATCCCGTCTTGCTTCAACAAGACTCTTCCCGCTGCTCGCTTAACTTCAATCATTTCCGCATGGTCAATATCGGTCACGGGCGGGATTGCGTAGAAGTCAAGGTCTTCACGAAGAACGATAATGCCAGCACGGCCTTGCAACATATCCCTCGTTGATCCATGCATAGGATCCATAGAATAATCGCCGTCCGCTGATGCGGTTGGAGATGGCGTGGCTGAAGGAATTGATTGTGCTACAGTGCGGAAGAAATCTAGCATGTATTGCAGGGAAGCTGGGTCATACTGAAAGTTCATATTAAGTGAGTGTTCACTTCAATACAGTTGGAATAAAGGTGACATAAAATGATGAAAGAAAGAGGGAAAAACATCGTTGCACTTACGTCGACGGGATATACGTCACCCTCATGGAATGTTCCCATGTGTCCATCAGGAAGGAGTCCATTTGGGAATAGAGATAGCAAAACGAACTCGGGTAAAGTAAGCAGTTCGTCTCGCGACAGCGTGAATCGAGTACCTCTGTTATCTTGGACGTCAGTTACATGATAACTTCTAGGGGCCCCCCTCATCAACAAAGGTATATACTGACCGTAAATCTAACGTTATATGATCATCGCCTCCAACATCTTCAAACCAACCAGAGTTAGCGATTTCAGCAAATACCATGCAGCGTCTACCAAGACACCATAATGTAACCACGTACCTCCAAGAGTATTAATCGGTCCTCCCCCAGTTTGCTGAACCTGTGTAATGATAGAAGCAGCTCCCCCCGGGCCGGCCATAACGTATGTAAACGACTGAAGTGGACTCGATCCTTCAGAATATGGTGGTGGCGGTTCTCCGTCGTCAAGGCCTTTACCTGATGCCGACGCTTCTCCTGTCTTATCCCGCGAAAGCTGTGCCTTTGTATCTAAAACAACAGGAGGGTGAACAGGCAATGGAGACGTCAATGTTTCCTCAAATGGAGGTGTCGGTGCGAAGGCTGGGAGACACGGAAATCTAGACTCTGTGATAGAGGTCTGGATGTAACCGAGCTCTTCGTCCTGCACTGAGTAGAGGGATGAGAACGGCGGTGGACAGGGAGAAGGGAATGGAAAGGGTGAGTTCGAGGAAGAGGCACAGCCAGGCGAATGGGGAGGAGGAGGAGGAGGAGGAACGGTATAGGAATCGTCTGGGTTCTCCACGGTGGTCGTGGTGCGGTCTGAATGAGATGGCAGCGCCGTGTTGGGCGAGCCTGATGGGTCTCGATTGTCCGACAAAGCGATGGGAGGAGATATCTAAATGATCTTACAGAGTATATCGATATCAGATTGGACAGGGTTGGCGCTTAAAACGAGAGTTTGCTTTTGCGAAGCGGAAGCAGAATTGGGGCAGTTGGGTGTCTATGGCAGGGGAAGTGAGAGTCTGGTGCAGAAATCAGAAAGGAGAGACGGGCGCAGAGATCGCGGAATGATACTAGATTCGGTCTATAGGGATTCGAGGAGCGAAAGGGAGAGTGGGAGACGATATGAGGGCATGGGGCTGCGAGGGTCTGGCAACATATATAGGAGCTCGGACAGATGAGAGGGCGATGTTGACTGAGTCAAACGGTACATGTAATGAATGGCTATGCTGTAGATCAATACGCGGCGAGTGGACAGAATTGGAATCCGGATGGTGGAGGAGGCGGAAGTGGGGTCGCTGTTGTTGTTGTTGCTGAGAGTTGGTTGATGGTTGTTTGGTGGTAGAAGCTGGCAATGGACTGGGGCAAGTTGAGGCTCAACTAGATATGCAGCCGATGTTTAAAGGGATGATGACACTAGCAACATCCAATCACATAAACATATAAGACAGCCATGGATGTATGAACAGTATCTACAATAAAACTCAATCATCTTTTTTTCAAATAACAAATACAATTACTCTTTTTGCAGCTGCTCCTTTGAAGATTAAACATACAACATACAGGAGTGATTGGGTATCTGCTTCTAGCATATATGTGTTTGAAATGATCTCTGTTATTGAATAACCATAAGACTGTGTCCAATATCCAAACCTTGGGACTTGAAAATTATGTATTCTGGCTGCTGCATCCACTGTAATCTGCTAGTTATTAATGCATGGTAAAAACGGATAGTATATCTAAAATACAAAAATACTTGTACAAACCCCGTGATGCTCCAAACTCCCAGGAATGCTTTGCCTCCTCGATCAAGTCAAACAGCGAGCTTGAAACCAACAAGGTCAGGGCAATAAGAAAACCAGTACAGGTCGCTGGGTGAACAGTGTATTTATCCGACATAAAACACTTTTTCAGCCCGCTTCTCTCATATCGAACATCAAGGTTCATTCTTCGTGAAATACTCAAGTGACGAATTTGAAAAGATCGTTGGACGTAACGTCCAAATTCTAATATCTATACTGGTTGATGTGAATCAGGCATCTCGTAAGGAACCCTTGATTTCGGATAGGGTGTGGTGGCTTGTTCAAGATCGCTCAACTTGCTGGTTCCACTGTCGATGGTCTTTAAAATAGGAGCAGCTCCGGTATCGGTTTCTTGGGCTCTTTTCTGTTCGGGATAATACTGACCACCAGGATGGAGTGGCTGTGCCGTCTGGAAAGCCTTCGTTAGCACGCACAGACAAGCAACACTGTGATAAATCTATGAAATCAAGTGTACCGCTGTCCATGCGCTTTTTCTGATCTCCCTGGGAAAATCATTTTTATATTTTTATGGAAGGGTACTGACTGGGAGGAATTCATCGCCGTCGATGACGACCTCGCGATCGCGGAGTTGTCGCATTAGTGCAAGGAAGTTGCTTTCTTTGAATTTCTGGCTTTGGTCATGGCTGACGCTGTCGAGTAATTGTCCGGCCGTTTTGGCGAGTTCATCGGATTCGTTCGTCCCCTCATCCGGGGGTCGTATGGTGTCTGAGCCTATTCTAATGGTTTGCTGAACCTCAAGTGGCTCTGTAGTCCCCTCTTCTTGCGATTTCTGCTCTTGAAGTTCAACCTCCGCTCGGGCTTCAGCAAAAGCTGCCTCGAAAGCGGATTCATCAAAGACAAATTGTTCCTTATGTTCTTGCACGTGGGACTGGTATGGATCCTGATACACTGGGTGGTGGCTGCTCATCCCACCAAATCCCATCACACCCATAACAGGGCCGTATCTAAAGGGCGTTTGAGGTGTGTGTGTTGCAGGTGGTTCAGACTGGGGTTTTTGATGGACTTCTCGCATGAAGTCATTCTGCCAGCTGCTAGCAGATGACTCTGGCCGGAATTGTTGTTGGGATACATGTTGGGAAGGACTGGAAATTTGTAGGTTTTGGAAATCCGACGCCCACCCCGGATTTTGAATATGATTAAGTGCCGGTCCATGGGCTGCTGGAGGCAAAAACGACGCAGGGTGTTGGATATCAGAAAGAGGAGGCCCGGGAAGACCTGCTTCGAATGCGTTGAATTCTGGATCTAGGGCGCCATCATTATGGTTTTGTGATCGGAACCCCTATTGAACGATTAGTAAAACAGAGTGCAGTAGAGAGGTAGAATCCAAATTTGGGAGTGGATACCTGAGCGGGCGACTGGCGGGAAAGTATGCGGTCTTGTTGAAGAGTCCTATCAACGGAGGAATGTTTCTGAAAGTTCTGGAGAGCATTTGAGGGGCCGCAAAGCGCATCCGCCATCGTGCCGTAATCTGTAACCGGTAATAGGGAAATAACACCTCAGATATATCAACTGTAGTCAAATAGGCCTCAAAGTCACTGGACTAGAGACAGGAGTCAAAGTTGAGAACAAGGTTGTGTATGGGTGTTATCTAGGTAATTCGGCAGGGTAAGGTGGGTTGGGGTAGATAGATCTTGGGAGGATTGAGGCTATCTTGATAAGACATATATCGAGAGATATGTACATATGTACAGGATACACTCTTTTTGTCCTTTTAAGTCACCAACTCTCCCCTGTATTCGCCTATAGGTACCATATGGTATATATGATTGTGCTGAATGCAAGAGTTGATGTTGACGATAAAAGAATGCCTGGTTGGACCGAGGCTAGTTATGGGTAACAGGGGCTTATGTCAGCAGTGATGCCCAAATAAGAAGGGGGTTGGCGCTGCGTCTAAATTTGCCTGTTTGGGTGGCGCTTAAATATCTCTTAGTCCAAGTCAAGTCTTCGCGGCTATAGCGCCTAGCTGCCGTTCGAAGATCATCGGCATAAGAAGCACGGATACAACAAACAAATTGACACCGGACACCAACGACAATTTCCTCACATACACGCGATTGCCATTGCCATTTTATATACAATAGCCAAGATGGTGAGGAGTTCCCCTATCCCACAGCTTTCCGTTGTGCTGCTCTGCTCTAACCGCTCTCTAGGCGCAAGTTATAACGAATTCTGGACACGATGACATGATCGTATGCAACCTCCTATTGCAACTGCTCCTCTTAACAGCTTCACTTCTCTCGTGATATATCCTACCAGCTCTAACCAAACTCCTCCTCGCATAGCATGATGCAGCGTTAGACTATTACGGTCGCAGACTGGCAACGTGTTCGTCAGACAAAACAATCAAGATCTTCGAGGTAGACGGCGCCGCTCACAGATATCTCGAGACGCTGAAAGGGTATGGAACTCCCCATTTTTCACTAGAAATTACGCTGTCTAGTACTAAAGGTGATTGTACTTAAAAGACACGAGGGAGCAGTATGGTGTGTTTCTTGGGTTCGTACAATTCAATCCTCGTCAAATAATACCAAAATATCTGATAAAACTCTTAAATTTACCAGGCGCATCCCAAATTCGGAACAATTCTAGCCTCTTCCTCCTACGACGGCAAAGTCCTCATATGGCGGGAGCAAGCCTCAAGCACCGCCTCCACATCCCCTGGCACCTCCTGGTCCAAAGTCTTCGACTTCTCCCTGCACACCGCTTCCGTCAACGCCATATCATGGGCGCCCCACGAGAGTGGATGTCTGCTCACCTGTGCTTCATCTGACGGCAACGTCAGCGTGCTCGAGTTCAGCGACAACAGCTGGACCCACCAAATCTTTCATGCACATGGTATGGGAGTCAATTCTGTCAGTTGGGCACCCGCCGCGGCTCCTGGATCTATCATTAGCGCGAATCCCAGCGTAGGACAGTTGCGTAGATTTGTGACTGGTGGGAGCGATAATCTCGTAAAGATATGGGAATACAAGTACGTTTTGTTTTATATACGCCATTCAAAAAGTCCTCATCTGCATGGTTGGAAAAATTGGATATTCTTTCCTGACATGAATCAAACAGCCCGGAAAGCAAGACCTACGCAATGGTCAAGGTGTTGGAAGGCCACACAGACTGGGTTCGCGACGTGGCCTGGTCGCCTAGCATCCTCTCCAGATCCTACATCGCCTCCGCTTCCCAAGATAAAACCGTCCGCATCTGGACATCCGACCCAACGAACCCAGCCGAGTGGACTAGCCAGCACCTCGAGTTCGATAGTGTCTTGTGGCGTGTCAGCTGGAGTCTGAGTGGGAATATTTTGGCTGTCAGCGGTGGTGATAATAAAGTAAGCTTGTGGAAGGAGAGTTTGAAAGGGCAGTGGGAGAAGGTGAAGGATATCGAGGAGTGAGGAAGAACGGGGAGGTTTATCTTATCTTTTTGTCTATCCGTTTTCATCCTTTTTAATGATATAGCCGGGCGTATGTTTTATTATGTTCATATATGTTTCTTTTCGCCCGCGAACGGAGTCGCTTCTTTTTCCTGACTTTGAATGGAAAAGCTGGGATAATAAACCGATTTTATTTCTGCGGTTATCTCTCTCCTCTCAGCAGGCAAGCTTATTCATTCCTCAAAAGACTGAGGATCCCCCTCTACCACCCCGTTCACCATTTTCAATCTGTAACATAAATCGCATCGAAGTCTGGGAATAACAAACCCCATAATTTCATCGGGGTTAGCCGCTCACTCCTTATCCCCCCGCTAACTTCCCTCAAACTCACTGCACAATTTCCGAGTCTCTTGCCCTAACTCCACCCTTCGCCTTTTTTTCTCCTAACCCACCACCATTCCCAGATAAGATCAAATAAAACTTAGAAAATAAACGGCCCCATCTCCTCCATCATATCCTTCCATCCCCCCATCATAAGTCCCCTCCCCCCCAACAACAACAACCACCACCAAGGAACAATCACCCTTCATACCCATTCGTAAACTCGAAATTTAACTGTCCATGTCCACTGACGGCCACACCCTTCCTCCTCAACTCCACCGTTATTGATGCTATTACCATGGCAACTGCCATTGACATCACCAACAAAGGCATAAAAATCAGGTTTAATGGCATACGTTACAAAGCGTATGGGATCCCAAGCCGGGGTGCCAGCTTGGGCGGGGAGGTCTTCTGCGAAGCCACGGACGGAGAAGGGGGAGGGATTGGCTGTAGCAGTTGCCACAGTTTTCGATATATAAGGATGCTGCATAAAGGGAAAAAAAATACATCTTACCAACAAGAAGCGTAGACAACATGTTTAGCCACAGCTTCTCCTTGGCCCCTTCCTCCATTTTGGAAAGAAGGCGTTTGCGCCAGCATAAAGCTGCGCACTCTGTATTCGTCTTCTGAAGTCCTATCTACCGCCGGGGGATCATTCTCTTCCAAGAACCTTGCACTCCAGACTCCAGAGCTGGGCGGAAGAATAGATTCTGCAAAAGTATCTGCAGGTACGGGCCATGTGGCACATATCGGCATCATCTGCCACGAGTATGGCGCTCAGTTAAATCAACTTAAAACGTCGAGAGTTAGTACGTAATAGAAAACGAGATACGGGGATTGAAATGCTGATTGATATTCACGCAGGCTCTATGCCGTGAAATCATTCTTCCTCTGACGATGAGATTCAACACCTTTTTTTCCATTTAGCTTGCAGGAGAAAGTTAAGGATGGGTGAAAATAGGAAGGGGAATGTATTTCCGTATATCTGTGGCTCATTAAAGGTGAATTCCACTTGCAGCTATTTCAAAAGCCACACTATATATTATCGTCTCATATCACTTCTATATCTCACTTTCAGCGCAGCGGTCGTGCAACTTCACATCGGAAATCAGAACAGCAAGAACCAACAGAATGTGATCTTGAGTGGATAGATCACAAGTCATAGTAGGATAATACGCTAAAATAATCCGAAAAGGATGGAAAAAAGATAATCATGATGCTGTGAAAGTATCATGACTGAAAGAAGAACTCAGCAAATGATATAAGGAGTAGGAAGGGCCACACCGACATGACAGGCTCAGTCGTAGTAGTTTGCTTTGGGCGGTTTATCAAGCTGGGATAATATGAAAAACTAATACCCAATAGCAGTACCTTGCGGTGACAGGGAAGATAGAAGCTGTGTCGAGGAGATGTGTTGGAGATGTCAATGGGAGCTCAATGAAGAGAGACAAATAGACGACGAGTCTAGCATCCAGAGTCATTCTGAGGGGTTTCATCGTCGAATTTCAAACTCTTGCCTAACCCGCGAAAAAATTGGGAAATTGGAAAAAGAAGTGAGCCAAGTTCGCTTTTCACCAGCAGCATTCGAGCTATGCTGCTGTTTTCCTAGCCACAGATTTTCACCATAAGGTAAGGTGCGTGCTCTATCAGGGATGATGACGGGAGGACTCATCCATCATTTGTATAATTCCGTGTTGGGATTAGCTACGAAGCTCAACGTCTAGAAGGCCCAAATCAAAAATCACAGAACCCTGGAGATATATACTGCGTGCCTTGGAGCAGTGATGTCGTGGAGATGGTGTGTTGAAAGCCTCAACAACCATCAAAAAGGGGCTGGTAAGACGACCGGACTTAGTCAGCCCGTCTATCAGGGGCGCAATCAATCCCTAGAACCTGAGGAGTATTTGAACAACAACGCGTGTGAATCCATCATCCATGTAATTCAAAGATTCGATATTCTCCGCTACATAACTAACCGTCTCGCTGTTTACGCAGTTTTCACCAGAATGAGCTCTGGTCGTGGAAGGCTCTCAAAAGCTAGTAAACCACAGAGTTATTAAAGAGACTTACAGCTAGCTGGCTGTATATACATTATCAAATCTCATTATTCTCTTCATTTTCACTCTTACAGAGCAAATGCAGAAACGAAAAGAAAATTTGAAACACAAACAGCCTTGAAAATAATAAATAAATAAAATAAAACAATTGGCTATTGACAGATCGAGGACAACTAGACAGGAGAGAGCTTTTTGAATTCAGAGTGAAAATCCAGGGG